CTCTAAATGATGAAATACATTTGATACAATATTTCAATCATGATGTTATTGCTATGTTTATGCAATCGCAAATAATGCGCAAGATAAACAGCTTACTTAACAACTCATTGGTATGGAAACATATTAAACGAAATGAATCAGTCGATCGTATGAGCATCGGTTTAATTATTATTAGTTATAATGAACTAATTCCGTCCATGAATCGTGGTATATTCTGCAATAATCAAATAACATCCTAAACGCATGCAAATTGGAATTAATAACACTAAAACAAATAGAATATTCTAGCAAACAAAATATATATTTATTAGATTATTCAATAAATTCAGGATACAAAATAAATAGCAGCGAGAATAACAACAAACAAACGATAGAGAAAACACAAAACAATTAAACGTTAAAAAAAACGCAATCCGCGGTTTCAATGAAACGAAACAATGCACAATAACGCATACATTTATTTTATTTTTTACGAAAAAGTCATCAAAAAATGGAAATTGTTTATTCTCTTCATAATTTGTTATCTATATAATTTACGATTATTTACTTAATACATTCTTCTACTAGTATTTTTTTTTAAATTTATTGTTTACATTTTTAATTGATTTTAATAAAGTTTATGTAAATTATAAAGTCTGTTGTTCTATTATGAAGCTGTTAATATAGTGGAGGGAGTAAAAAAATATTCAACTGTATTATGTATGATAATGCAACAGATAATGCCTCATGATGGGACAAAGGGGATAATTTCATGTAACGGTTAGGGTCAATGTGAACAAGGTGTCCCTTGATGTGGAACGTTTCGTAACATTTACCTGAAAGTAAAGAACCATCAGGTGATTGTGAATACTTATTTTTTTCATAAAAGCTGAAAGGAAGAGAAAAAATGAACGATGTAATTTTATGAAATGCGTGCATGGGTAAAGTTTGTATGAAATTTATAATTGGAGAACAAATCAGATTATCAGAGAGTTTGGGTTACAACAAGCACCATAGATAATAGAACAAGCTTCAATGTTGTACTCGAGTTAATAACCTATATGCAGAGTGAGCGCAGATGGAGAGCGAAAGGTGTGTTCGAAAAATAAGAAGGATGGTATACAGAAAATATACTTGAAGGCAGGGGGATTGCTAATAATTTCAGGAAGGTAAAAGCAAGCAGGAAGGTGGTTGGGCGAGGATGAAATATGAGAATATAATCATAAAATATGTATTAAAAGATCCATCATATCTGTGGTAAAAGTTTTGGAACAATGATTAAGTTTAAACAGCCCCCCCGAACACAGTTTTTATTAGTAATTTGGTGAAGTTGGTTTTGAAGTAGTGCTCGTAATGGGTGGTTATTAAGAGGCCGACGGCGAAATGTGTGCGGGCCGAGGGAGGCGGCGGCCGGGCACACGAGAGGCGAGTTGGGGGGGCGGCTGGTGTCCAGATTACACTTTCAATATTCATGTAAACTAAACAGGGCCCTGACGGGGGGATAAGGGGGCGGCGGCGAAATTTTGGTTGAGCCAAGTTTCGGTAATTGGAGTTTGAATGGTTATGGCCGCCCGCGGTCGCCTTGCATTATATTTGAAGACCCACCACCCACGCCGCCGCCTCCGACGATGGAAAGGGTACCCTTTCCTCTCGTCCGTCACGTCCACAGATCGCGATAATTTTGTCGAGGAAAAAAGAAATAGGGAAACTTTATCCTCCGCTTCGGCGAAAATATCGCAAATTTAGCCCTACTCCTTTCATGTTTAAGATAATATTCAACCCGAGGTTATGCAGTAGATTATATATAATTACGGAGTATTTTCATCATCTAATAAAACAATAGGTTTCAAATTCCAGTAATTAAATTATTTTAAAAAATATTTCAAATCAAACAAATTTGGAATTAAATATAATTAAATAAAGTATAAAATTTAAAAAAGCATATAAATTCTTGTATTAATTATAATGAAAAATTAATATTTTAAATATATAAATTAATAAGATGTATGCAAATATAAGTAATAATTCAGATTGCATAAGAATCAACAGTTAATTAAACAAGCGATTATCTTCAGGATTATAATGAAGCTTTGTCAGTCTGTATAGATTTCTTTGAAATTATGATCCTCAAAGTTAATTACTAATTACTAAGCCATACCCGGTTAACTCTGAAACACAGGATACTAATACGATAAACCATAAATCTTTCCGTTAAGACAATGATTAGCGCTTTACGTAATTAGTTAATGCTTTATGTAAAAGCCCATTGCCGTGACAAGGTTTTAATGATCACGCTTTATATGTTGCGTAAATATTATGTGAGGGCAAATGTTTGCCCAATACAATGCATCAATTTTCATAGACAGTTTCAAGTTAACTGATTATTAATAACTTTTCACGTTGTGTTTTAAAAAAAAAAAAATTTCTTTAATTTCAGAAGCAAATTGAATGGCATTAAAATATTCGCAATTAGAAACCGTCTCGGACCAATTAAGAAAGATATTTGCTTTAAATTTGGTGAATATCAATTCGCATCGATCCCGTTCCAATTGAATTACTAATTTCCGGCGCTTCCCCGTCATTATTTTCTTGCTTCCATCCAAACCTCGGCTCAATTACTTAGATTTTTTAGTGTTATTCAATATTTCCTCATTATGAACGCATTTTTACAGTTAATTCTGCAATTGCAACTTATAGGCCTACAATAAGATCAATCATTTTACAAGTTTATATATCAAAATAAGTTTTTTTTTTGATTAAATTAAACGAAATTTATAATTTGTCATTTAACCATAAATCTCAGTTCAACTTGAAGAAATATTTTATAATGTTCGAAAAAGAAGTGTTTTTACATTTTTTATTATATCTTGAAAATTGTATACGCCAAATTCATTATTGGGTAACCAGATTAAAGCTAAATGTTCACTCTTTATAAAATATTTATGTTATATAATATTACTTCTACTATAGCAGAACTTGAGTGTTTACAATTATATTTTTGTGGTATAAACAATTGCGTATCAACTTGTTTCTATGTTGACACTATGTTGACAAATTGTAAATGATATGGGGATAAATAAAAAGTAGGAGTATAAACCGTTGTTCCGGAGATTTATCACGGACTTTAGTGGGATTTTATTTCCGACTAAACTGAATATAAATATAAAATATGCTTGTGTGTGTGAAAACGATATTGAGCTGCACACATTCCGAAATAGACGGTCAAACGGAGGTCAAATAATATGGGTATCGTTGTCACCTGACAAAACGTTTTTCGTTGAAGTTTTTCAAATGTATTATATAAGCCACTAATAGCCGTTGTCCCGGCTCATTTTTCTTTTTACAACCATATCGGAGCGAATTTGTGCGGTAATATATATTTACTAGATAGATTAATGTTGTTTGTAATAAAGTGTTCACGGTATTGATTCTGACGGTGAATCAATCATAACGTATTTGTACCCATTATACAAGATAATAATTTAATGGCTATCGAATTTAAACGTGTACATAACATGCGGGCACATTTTCATTTCGTTACCGATCAATTCGGAACGAAGCCGGAAACCACTTTCATCATTTGATTTCCTAATAAAAATTATGGAAATACATTTATCCTTTGACATTTCACTAATCATCTATTACTTCAATAATGTTATTATGTGTATAAAGCTAAGACATACATGTATGTTAACTTCTACCAACTATCACCAAGTACGAGGGTAGTCCCAGAAGTATATACCCAAGTTGTGTATACATTTGATTAGTAAAAAAAGCTAAGGAAATTTAGTTCATCGCTATAACAGACTACATAAATTCCATCAATAACAAACTTATTTATTAAATATTTGAATACAACATTTTTTTTTTCATCTACTAAATATACAAAAAAATATGTAATTGACATAGATAATGGTTAAACTTTGCTATCTGTTATTAATAATTATAACCAAATTGACATAATTTACTATCAATAAACAACAGATAGTAGTAACTATCTATTATTATTGCCTTTGTGTCAGTGTTTGCACAATGATTTGTTTTTTTATGAACGTGCACAACATACATAGTTTTCGTGCAAACATTGAATTATTTGGCCGAAATAGGTCGTAATCGTCAAATGTCACATGAATAAAAAATGTGTGTAAGATTTACCATATTTCCTCGCTTATTATACCTGTTGCGTCCTGAAACCCTTTATTAAAGATAAATATTTTCTATTTCCTGATTTTTTTCCTATTATAACATTGTAGAGATTTAAATATTATTTATTATTATAATTGCTAAGCATAAATATATTTATTTCTTACTCTCTCAAACAACTGCAAAGCAAAAATAATATAAGTATACTTATGGTCTATTTGGAGGAAAATTTGAAGTACTTTACTTTCTATTGTGATTTATTTCAAGTAAAACTTATGCAATAAATTGGACTCGTTAAAAGTTTTCGTATATGAACAACCGATGTTAAACCGATGTTATTAAGATAAATATATATACAAATGTAGGTAAGCTAAGTCAGAATATATAGATTACATATGAGGATATTGAAAGGAAGAGCATGTGGTGAAAGGTTTCGAAGGAAGCTATAGAAAAGTGATCATTATGTAGACTGGATCGCCGGTATGAATGAACCCTCAGTAAATCTTAACATTCAGCTCTATTGATGGTAACATACGACACAGTCCTCGATCCATGTTATCCATCGTTATACTTGCATAATGAGACACTCAAGTTAGGAGCGAGGACTGTCAAGAGTTCGTCACAAAATCATTGCCGGGTAGCACAAATAGCGACTCCATTCGAAGCCGAGAATATATATTTTTTTGTTCCACTTTAAGCACTTACATGCTCGAGTGTTTTATACAAATGAAATGTATAAACAGTGGAGCGTCGCGTATTTTGTATAAAGGGAGGGAAGACCTAGGGTGCCGGGCCTCACTCTTTATTTGTCTTAATACCTAGCAATTAAGAATCAGTACCGTCACTCGGTGTAGGTAATTAAACTAAGAAGGAAGCGATCTGGTAATAGCCATTGAGGCTGAATGTAACTTTTATTTTATTGGGTATGGTAATTGCAGCTAGTTATAAGTTTGCTTGTACAACTTTAGCCAAATCTGTATGATATTTCGGATGTTTTCTCTGGCGCTAATCACGGATGACCGATCCTTGGAATTGCTGCTGCGTAAATCCAGATGGTGAGCGCCGTCCGGTATTATAATGGCATACACAGAGCGAGTATTGCTCTTCAAGACACCACCAGAGGACCACGGATCCAACAGGCCATTAGTGAATATCAAATTGGAGTATTCAGCCTCCTTGCCTCCGTAAGCCAAGATGGCCAAGTCGTCCCGAGTAATCCGCACGCCGAATTTCTTATAGCAATCATCTACGGTTTTTTTGAAGTCCCATGCGGATGGCTCGAACATCTCATTCGATAAGTTGGTACACATTGGCATAACCATTTCCGTACAAGCCTAGTTAATAAAATAAAGAATTAGAGTAATTGGCGTTTCCGGTAATTTAATACAAATATATACTTGGAAGTCCCAGCCGTTTATCCCAAGCGAACCCGCGGTGCTGTTGAAATCAAGGCACTTAACGGCTCCGGTGTAGTTAGTATATATTGATATAGCTTTTCCCAAAGCCGTTAGCAGGTCCTTGCCATCCAAATTCGACTGATCTATACGATCACACAAAGCTTGTACAGGATTAGCCGGCACCGGGGCCAAAAAGTTGGTTGGGTAATTGTAATTTATCATCGCAATATTTCCGTACAATTCTTCTAACGCTTCAGTTAGATCGGTAATGTCCTGGCTCGAGTTTAGAGGCTTACACAGTTTCCATTCCTTCGAGAGCCAAAGCTTCCCCTCGTCGTTGCCCGTAATATTTTTAATGACGCTCCAGGACTTCTTAATATTTCTAACGGCGTTCTGCGAAGAGACCTTGTACACCTTCGAAACGATATTATTGAAAGCCGTGCAATCGGTTAATCCTTGGAATTGGTAGATCGGCGCCGAAGAAGCAACAGCTCCATCCACAGCATAAGAATACTTCTGGCGCAGCCAAGCGGCTAACATTCCACCATATGACCCACCGAAGGCAATAACGGGGATTCTAGTGGGCTCCTTTTTATATGATTTCTGGATGAAATCGAGAAGATAAACGTAATCGGCCAAAGCCTGAGTCGATGTCAAATAGCCCAGATACTTCGGTTCCGCATAGGATTTATCTCCGAATGGCATAGATTTACCATAATATCTGAAACGGATCATTCCTTATCTTGTCTCGTCTTACCACTTTATTATTCGCATACCTATGTTCCGCGAAGATCACCATCGCGTCTAATTGCTGCCCGAGTTCCCACATAAAGCCAGTATTCTGAGCGAACATAGTAATGTCACCTTCGTTTCCGGTATAGAAGAATATCGGACCTCCATTTCGCCAAAATGTGTCGTTTATCAAGTAACGTAATTGGAATGTCTCGTTGTTGGTGAAACTGCAACAACCACTTTTAATACATACTCATCGTAAAATGATATTACCTTGGCTTCACCTGAAATGATCTACGGGCGTTTGTAGGTATTCAGTTTTATAAATATACGTCTCATCAGCTATCGCAGCCGCGAACAAAAACAATAAACAGATTATCCTCATTGTGTTACTCTTCGTGCGTACATTTTCTAACTAAGAAACTTTATGTTTATCATGAACTTTTGAACCGTTCTTATCTCGAAATTAACAAACAGGGCGTTGATATAAATAGATCAAACAAAGAATCACCACCATCAATTTGCGAGCAGCGAGCGTCTGCAATAAGTACTCGCACTTTATTCAATTTTATACTAGAATCATATAAGCTAGAGACACCTAACGCTCAATACCTAAACAAGTCTTACTTGTAGTTAAGCTACCAGCAGTACAGTAAAACATCAAAACTCAACGCAGTATTAAGTAATAGTTTTGATCAGCATTTAAAGATCATTACAGTTACAACAAACTTAAACATGATCATCTCTAAATTAATTAAGAAAACAGTATAACAAAGACTTTAATTAACACTTAAAATGACTATCTATAATATTTACATGTTTTTAAACCCAAAATAATATAATTAACAATACTATTTCAATTTATAATTAAACATTTAACTTCTAGAACATAAAATTCAAATTTCATGTTTTAACAACTGTACTTTAGTCTTTTATACAAATCACATAAAAAACATAGCAATATGTTTTTTGTATTGTTTTAAATAGGAAACAAGCACATCTTTTTTCACTTCTTGAGAATAAAATTTTAGAAAAATCATAGAACATAGAAAAATATTTTAAATCTCAAGTATTTTTGTGTCCGAATCGGATAAATTCGAGTATGACTATTACTTACTTACTAGTAAATAGTCTCTCTTCTATTTCTATTATTCTATTTTCTGTTTTAACAGACACCAGTTTAATATATAAATGATTATATTGTCATAAGGCAATCACTTATCAAAGTTGACTGCATTTCATAATTAATATTGAAGGTTTTAATTAAATTAGTATAGTAAAAGAATTAACTTCATAATGAATGGGAAAAAAAGCGACATCTTTTAGAAATGTATATTATTATTAATGCGTATATAGTAAATTTGAATACATCACTTTTATTGGATTATTGCAATATAGGCAATATGAAATAAGTATTTTTTACTAAATACAAAATAAAATGAAACATCTTTTAAGAATTGACACATTTAGAAATGTTAACTTAAGTAGTGGAGATACAGCATCTATTGAACATAGAAGTATAGAAAACTACATGTTTTCTTATACAACTTATAAGTAACAAACAACATATTTTAAGACGAACGTCAGAAAAAAAATAATAATAACAGTCTTCTAAAAATGTTAAGTACCTTTAAATTTATCAATAGTAAAAAAAAGTGATAAGTAATAAAACTAATGTTGCGAAACACTGTTTTTAAGACTCATATCATTTATTCATACTAATGAACTCGATTTATTCATCAACGTTAAGAATGAAGTTAAAAATACATTTAAAAATAATACTTCTTTTTCATTAAAAAAAAACAAACATTCTTCTACCCGTTCCTTCATCAAGCATACAAACTGGGCTTAAGTATAAATATAAAAGATTATGCACAAAAAGAGGTTTAGATATATAAATAAATGATATTACACGTAAACTTGCAGATATATAAATTATTACAGATGTACATAGTTTGGAATATTATATGTATAAATATATGTATGGAACACAACAAAAATCACGTGAACATGTGAGAGTGAACGAAATAGACACCTATTGTGAGGATACTTATTTGAATACTGTCCGCTATTGCAAAAAAAAATCGCTCAGCAGTGATTTGTTTGTTTGTTAAGTAATATATATTTGTTTTTGTATTGTGTTTTGTTTGAAAATAAAAAGATTTAATAGAACCGTGATAAAAATAAGATATGTACAAATTAAAAGTTGTTTACGTTGCAAACGGATTCAGTTAATAAACGAAACGTAACTAAAAGCCTATCATTAAATATATCACACATCTAAAAAGTCTTTTAAAAGAGTCGTCCTTCGTTTTTCTGCAATATCCATCTGATTCTCGAGATCACCACGATCGGTGGTCTCGGCCCGTTCAATCTTCCAAGATAGATTCTCAATTTCAGCCTCGAGCTGAGCCTGCTGGTATTCGAACAGTTGCTTTCGAGATCCAGTTTCCATAAAATACGCGTAAGGATAAGTATATTGCAATGTGTAACGACACTTTGCTAACAGGTTGGCCGCTGCAAATAAGTACTGCCAATCGATCCAAGTACCTAGGCCTGCCATCACCTTCTGATTGATCCTCTTCCGGAGCTTATCAATCGTCTCCACCTCGAGCTTCAGTGACTTCGAATGGTTCTCCCATCGCTCGTAGTAGTGCAAGTATTTCTTCAGCGCTTCTCTAGCCTAAGGTGCAAACAGTTAGCCCTCGCTACATACATTGATGGAATGATTTACTGATACATTTACCTGCACGTGAACTGACTCATGGGCGATGTTCGGATTATCTTTATATCTAGAGCACTCGTAATATTCTGAGCCATGTGATTTCCAATCACCTAAGCACATCCAGCAGAAATCATGCTTACATTTATAACATTGCATGTGATTGCAACCACCGTTCTTCTCTATGCATATGTGGCACTTTGGACAGTCTTTCGTGTGAGCGCTTATGTAGTTCGCGGTTTCGCTATCGTCGGCACACTTTGTCAACCACTTCCGTATTACCTGACAATCCGTAGGCGCGTGATAGTCCATACCACATCTACGAATCAAACAAAAAAAAGAGAACATGTCCATGATCAAATTACCTCAACTACTGGCTTCAAACCGAACACATGCAATCATCTATCATCATCATACAGCTGCGATTTTTCGAAACTAACTCATCTAAAAACAAGATACAAAATGAGATACATTGCACTACAACTACTCAACATTGCACAAGATATTCTTCCTTTAAAATAAATGTATTGTAGGTAGGTTATAACATCAGAATTATTATATCACCTAGAAAATGCTACACTATAAGTACTAACTTTTTACAATAATAAAGATTGATAAACATAAATACTTTACATTAGTTTAAATAAAGTCATATTTACCTTATAATGAAAAAAATAATTATATACTAAAAATAAAATTAAAGTCTACAGAAACCAACTAAGAAAAATGCATGCTTGTAGTAAGATATTACTAATTCACTATTATTGATTCAAGTCAACTACGCAATGTAACCATATATTAGAAGAAGGTAAGTAATTTCATGCTAATAACAGAACTATTGATTGTCCCATTACATATATATAAATAAAGAAATGGCAAAAATACTCACTTAAAGCAGAATGTGGTTTTGCAATATTCACATACTGAACGTTTTGCTTTAACTTCAGGACTTTTAATCACACATGAGCAATTGGGGCCTGGACAGAACCTCAGTTCAGGATGTGACTTAACATAGTCCTGAAATGTGAATTGCTGATACTTCTCTCTCATTTCGGATTGTGTTAAATGCTTAAGAACAAAATCTTCATGAGCCAGAACCTCGCAGTCCCTTGCCATGCAGCTGATGCCAGTAGATATACCCTGCACATTAAAATTGAGTAAGTACAGCAAAAGTGAAATAATAATAATAAATAAAAAACATACCTGATTGATTTGGACCTCGAAATGTGAGGTCCAGCAATCCCTACAGAATTTGTGTCCACATAACAGGCTGCAGAACTTGTCACACTGCTGGGACACTGTGCACACCGGGCAGTTAATGTACTTGCTTGAGGTTCCCTGCAAATGCACCACTGATGTTGGCTTGATTTTAGAGTTTATCAACAGTGCACTTGCATTTTCTCTGTACTTATTGACTATTTCACTAACAGACCATTTGTGACCATGCAAAAGGACCTGTAGAAAAAAAAGTGAAGGATGGAATTCAGTTAAATATGAAACTTGCATCAAATCAACTCATTATTACCTTGGCAAGTGAGGGGGTTATTCGGAGGTAGTTACTCAATTGCTCAACCTTCTCATTCAGCAGCCTCTCCACCTGCTCTTCGGTGAGGCAATCATACACAAAGTACTCTGGATCCCTAATCAACGGATCTATCTGATCCATATCATTATCATCATTATCATTGTAGTAATCGTCGTCCACTATATCGATGTCCGAGCAGTCCATATCAGAATCTGCATCCTGATATTCACTATCCATCGTTGCTTTGGTGCAATCCTAGATCCGACACTCAATTAATATTTGATGCCATCATTACAGTGTCTGATTAATAAATATTTCAGTAAATTGATCACCTGTTTACTGTCAGATAACAGACGCCATTTGCAAACTGATGCCTGGATCTCTGTTATTTACATTGCGCACCGTTGCGACATCTCCTCTTCAGATCCTAGGAAAGCATGCCCAAACATGCCTAGCAAAGCAACGTCAATCGATGGCAACCCTACAAAATCCATTTGTCCGTCGCATTTACGTAATCAGTGACGTTGTTCCTTTGTTTTTCTCTTTGCTTTCTGCAAATTCGTGGAAATGTTTTCCCAACATTCGGCAACGTGGCCTCTTCGAAGCGTGTTTATTATTTGACATTTGAGAAGTGGAAGTGACATGGCGTCCAATATCCTAAGTTATAAAAATACGTACATCGTCTATTCCTGAAGAGCCCCCAGAGCCCCAAGCTATAATGAGCATGTACACCAGAATTTTCCTGTTCAGACGGAAAACGAAGTGCCGTGAAGAGTGCATAAATTTATAATTTCAAGCCCCCGACAAAAACCCCCCGAAGAATCTCATTATTATATAAACAAAACTCGCCTCACGATTGACAACTTTCATGACCAATCATTTCAAAACATAGTACTTTTGAAAAACCAAAACAAATACTTTTTCAACATTGCTTCCCCAAGATAGCATTACATTTTATCTTAAGTAATCCCTATGATATTTAGTTTATAATCCAGTGGTAAGTACCAATCATATTAGACATTGCAACATAAATAAAAGGATTGAATCATTGGAGACATAAACTGCTATTTAGTTATCACTATATTCCACCTAACACTTGTTGTCTTTTCTGATTTGTTTACTTGCAGTACATTATGGCACAACCACAAATTATAAGTCAAAAGCGGATACGAGGTGCTGTTACTGGGGAGCCTTCAGGTTCCAGCAGCACCCCATCTAGTTCCAACACTCAGATATCCCAGTTACCAAATCCAGGAACACTTACTGATGAATTAGCTGCCTTATTTGAGTGCCCAGTATGTTTTGAAATTGTCTTACCTCCGATTATGCAATGTCAAGTAGGCCATTTAGTTTGTGCTAGCTGCAGGCCAAAATTATCATGCTGTCCCACATGTCGTGGCAATTTAGGTGAGTTACCCTTACAAAAGTAAAAAAATAAAAAAATATATAAAATGATATTAATTATAGGTGATATCAGGAATTTAGCAATGGAGAAAGTTGCTAATAATTTAATGTTTCCTTGCAAGCATAAACAAACTGGCTGCCGGATGTCTCTAGGCCTCAATGAGAAGGCAGAGCATGAAGAAATTTGTGAGTTCCGTCCTTACACATGCCCATGTCCTGGAGCCTCTTGTTCGTGGCAGGTAAAGCACATACCCAAATCATTCAACAATCAATACTCATGTTTGCCTCCTTTTTTTCCTTCTTTTAGGGTCAGTTGGAGAAAGTAATGGTGCATTTGAAACATGCACATCAAAATATAACTACCCTGAATGGTGAGGACATTGTTTTTCTGGCAACAGAAATAAATTTACCAGGTGCTGTTGATTGGGTGATGATGCAGAGCTGTTTTGGGCATCATTTTATGCTGATCTTGGAGAAACAGGAAAAATGTGATGGTCATACCCAATTTTTTGCTATTGTACAATTAATAGGATCACGAAAGCAAGCTGAACATTTTGCTTATAGGTAAATATTAATATATATTTTTTTTTTCATTATCCACAAAGTATTTCTTTTCATTAACAGTATGCAATCAATTATTCAAAAAAATTTGCTTGAATTTGTTCTCAATTGTACTGAAAAGTTTAATTTGTGATTCATTGTTTTGTTAGAAACAAATAGTGCTTATATATATAATTGATTATGATATTATCTTTTAGTATCTTTGCAAAAGAGTGACTAACAACCTTTTATTATTCAGTTTCTATTGTTAACTGGTAGAGTAATGTTAGTGAAAAATAGCTGTATTGTTTTTAAACAGATGGAATTATTAATATTAGTAGATTGTGTCCTTTAACCCTGCAGTACTCGCACACATTTCCAAAAAAATTAACTAAGTGTGACATAACTACAACAAGAAGGCGAAGGAACAAAATATATAATAAGTACACATTAAATCCCAGAGTAGCCGGTATCAAATGCGAGCGTGACCTTGATTGGCCGCCTCGAAACCTGCGATCCAACTCAAGGTCAAGCATATGCATATTCGCGCTAACGCTATTGTAAATTTGCAGCGCAACATTTGATTATTGCAATATAGCTTTCGCTTTATCGCTGAAGATGGAAATACCGGGTCGCTTATAATAGCGAAACGCGTTCAATGGAACAAGGACGAAATACTTTTAACATCTTAGAATATTGCATTCTTTACTCAATGTGAGCACTGAAGGGTTAACATTGTAATTTTTGTTTGACTATGTACATATTACAAACTTATTTATAATATGTTCTTAGTTTATCCTTGAACTAGTAAATTAACTGCGTGCAAATGAACAATGCTCTGATATGCTAAACAATGGTTTTAACTACTATTCGATTTATTTATTGACTCATTATTTTCTATTGTTTTACACTTTTTATTACTGGATCAAGTGCAGTAATTTGAAAACTGTGACTCAGATCAACATGTAATCCAAGGAATAATACTCGAGTCGAACAATTATGTTATTTATGGATATTGAGTGATAACATACAGAAGTATCGAATTCATTTACAAAAAAGAAAATTTTATACTGTGTAATTTATACTGTGATAATGTAGAACAATGAAGACAAACGTCGTTGTAAAAATTGAAATTTTATTAATTAACATGATGAAAATATAAACAAATTAATAATAGTATACATGCTTTATTATGCTTTGCTCCTATATATTTTTTGTATGCTTATTATCATTGCATTAATATTTTTTTAAAGGTACTGCGTTTTGCGACTTTACTGGTGTAGAAACTTCAAATTACAAATTTGTGTTTGAAAAGTTACAATTAATATTAAAAGTACTTCGTTTTACAATCGATTCCAGTATTTATTCGTACATGTTTAGTGTGTATAGATAAAGACTATAGGAATAAATGATTAAATGAATAATGCATGAACTTTAATTATATTTTGAACATATGCAGGATATGTTAAAATGAATGGTCACCACTGAACAAAAGTAAATATGTTCTACATAACGCCTAATGGTCGAATAACATGTAGACGATGTCTACGATGTTTGTTTTATTTTGGGCAGTGGCTTTGAAACCCGTTCCCGGCATTGGCATTGAGTCAAGGCCACGGATTGGGTATTCGTTGCGTGGCCAGGTTACAAATGTTTATATTATGTTCTGTTTGTTGTGTCTGTGTTTAGGTTGGAGTTAAATGGTAATAGAAGGCGCCTTACATGGGAAGCAATGCCTCGTTCCAGCCATGAAGGTGTTGCATCCGCTATAATGGGCTCTGACTGCTTAGTATTTGATACCTCAATTGCCCAACTCTTTGCTGACAACAACAATCTAGGTATCAATGTTACCATATCCATAGTTAATTAGTTTCTATTCATAAATACTATATTTGTCGGATTATTTTTCCTTTTTTTTTATTAATTATTATTTAATTTTCGTTCGTTAAATTTTATTTCTAAAAGAAACAGAAAAAAAATAATAATACAGATTTATAAGATTGTATCTTATATACAAATAATTTAGTGTTTAAGAGTTCAAATATTTATTACTGCTACTTTGTACCATTTCTATCGAACGTTTCTTATATAATGCATTTTTGTTTCTACTAATTAAACATTGTACGAATCATGTGTATAGAATTATATAATCATTTTGGGCGAAATTTTTATAACGAGATCCTAGAAACAAACAATTGAACTATGCGTATTACCCTATTAACAACAATAAAACACCAATAACAACAAAAAAGCTTCGCTTTTTATAGACAATATTCTTTACTTTTTATTACTATTAAGTATGTCCTATTATGTATGTTATGTAATTATTGTTGATTATTCAGTTTTTTTTTTAAACTTGCCTCTGTACTAATTCGATTATGTTCTTTGTGCATAAGCAATTATTTTTTTTTTAGTAAGACAGAACCCTAAGTTTAATGGAACTGTAGATAAAGAACAACACAGAAACTATGAGACAAGAACTTGTTTAAAAATTGATAGGTTTAAGTAGTTCTGTTAATAGAAGCGTATGATATAAACATGTGTAATTTAGTAGCACAGACCTTTTATTTTTTGTTTTACTATGATACTTGGCTAAAAGATAACTGGTTTATGATCATTTACCGCCGTTTACATATTTATTTTCGTATATGTATAGTATATTTCTTTCCTTTCAAGGTTACTTTCATTTATATAAATATATATTATATTTTTTGTGATAAGTAGGATATAAGATGGTTTTAGATTGTAAGGAACGAATGTCTCTTGACAAATTTTAACCAATTTGATATGAGCCACTGCTGTTTGTATGGTTAAAATAAAACGAAAGAAAATTTATGGAAATCATTATTTCTCTTTCACTTCGGTGGCTCTTTATCTCGAAGTATTGTCAATTTCGTGAGTGATGATAATGTTTATACTGTGGTAGATAAGATTCGTAAAATAAAAAATTTAATCTTTTAAAAAAATATATTATATTTTCTCTATAATTTTATTTCCCTTTGAAAATATTGATTTTCCTTTCCTTCCCTTAATACCTAGACCTACTGACCTACAATCCATGACCACCTGTTGACTAGAATTATACTTTTAATACTTTCGATTTTCCTTAGACATCTCTTACCAATTAATAATAAACATTAATTTAATTGCAGAAATCACTAATATCCTAATTAAATAATAATAAATTAAAACTACCACTAAAGCTCTATTTTATTCTTACCTGTTACATACATTACTTTTTGTCCACAAACAAAATTGTCTACAACAAAATACATTAAATCAGTGTTTCCAACGTGGGACCCACGTCCCACATGGGGGCAATTTGAAAATGGACATGTGTTTTTGTATGTGATACATAGGGGCATAAGAATTGTAGAAAAGCTCTGCTGGGACATGGCACAAAAAACAGGTTTGGAAACACTGTTGTAGTCCATTTCTAAATATTTCGTTGAGATTCGTTAATTAAGGATAATTCATATCAATTTAAATAAATTAAGTAGTGACTAAAACAAGAAATAATTAAATATGTTGCAAATAATATATATTTCTTGATATTGGTATACTTGTATATTTTAGTTTTTAAAGTAATGTTGTGTGGTAGAATTTAGTAGAAATAATTTAAAAGAACTTTGGCGCCATCTAGAATTACTTCTGAAGATCAAGGACTGTCATTTGATCACTTGAAAATGTGTTTCGTCATCTGCTAATACTTGTCACGTTTTTGTAGAAAATTCAATGAAAATGAATAAAAAGTTATTATTCTTGAGTGTTTTTCTCAATGCTTTTCTTTATACCAGAGCAGACGACGTTTTGGGATGCGGAGGATTTATTAAAAGCCATGTACCAATAGACTTTTCCAAAGTTCTAGTCAAATTGTAAGTAAATAAATGCGAAAATAAACGACACTTTGGATTCATATTTTTGATGCATATATTACAGATACACTAAGCAAGGCATTTTAAAGGATCAGACCAATTGCGCCCCAAATAATGGCTACTATTTTATACCACTTTATGATAAAGGAGATTACATTCTGCAGGTAAAGCTGAAGTAGATACTGATGAACCAGAGGATCTGTATATTAATGGTTTCTTTGTAGCTGCAACCTCCACCAGGCTGGAGTTTCACACCAACCAAAGTAGTATTGCAGGTCAATGGCAAAGATGATCTCTGTTCCGAAGGCAAAGATATTAATTTTTCGTTCAAAGGCTTTGGAATTGCTGGAAAAGTAAGTGTTTCAAACTTAAGAACTGTAAGAAGCAGAGTAATATTGTAATCATTTTGCAGGTTGAGAGTGCTGGTAGTGATGATGGGCCAATTGGGGTTAATGTGGAGTTGAAATCAAACAATGAAATCAGGAAAACTGTGACCACTGATAAAGGTAAGCAGCACTACATTTTTATATAATTATAGCTTCTCGCATTATCTGTGCTGTTACGGTATTAAACAGCCCTGGCCAGGTAAGCCAGTGGCGGTACTCCAACCACCGGCTCCGCGCGTTCCTCGATCATCACGATCACGTAATACATGGCACGACCCCCTCTTACAATAATATGCAAATACTTCATTCCGACTCCTTTTATTTCGGCCCCCGGGTGGTGACCCATTTTCAAAGATACCTGCAAAACATAACAAATACAATAACGCATGTTAACACCCTGCACCATGCATAGCAGGATGTAAGTGTTCTTTGTTCCTAAATATATTTGTATTTTGATTGGCTTGAATTATAGACTGATTAAAGTTCATTGAAATTTTGTACAAATGTAAGATTATGGATATAAGATTATTTCATCCTTGTAGTTTATCTACTCTTCAAATTTATATTTTTATTTAGTACTAGTTTTCGTAGATACTTAAATAAGCATTGTTAAATATTGTTTAAATATAAACAAATTAGAAACTTATTTAATTATTCAAATTGTGTGTTTTTCCTTGCATCTATGTAGGTTACAGTTAATTCATTATGTTTTAATTTATTAATATATTAAGGGAAAAAGTACAATTTGGAATATAATATAATAAGTTTAAACTTTAATATATTTAAGTGCTACATGTATTTCGCGCCAAATTTTATATTAAAAAAGAAGCTTTGACTTGCGTACATTTCCGGAGTTGTAGAAATCAATACAATTTAATGAACAGAGAATTACATTTACACTACCTTAATGAAAGTTAGTTAGATTAATGTTTTTACATGTAGCACTATATACTGCACTTATTCATTCTTTTCAAAGTGTTTAATTATCGCGACTTTCAATGTTCTTCATGCGTCTTCATGTTTAAATGTAAACATTTATTTTCACCGTATTATATATGATTATTTGTACTGGTGAGAATATTACGGCGCGAACGTAAACCTAAACAACCCCGTGATGGAATCATACGCGCTACCCGTAGAAATCGAGCTGCTGTTATCCCTAGATACCGTGAATCTTTGACCTATATCAGGATATTTTCTCTGAACTAAGGAGGAGGTTTATATGTATGAGATACAGCTCTCTCTTCAACAAGACCCTGTTATTATTGTAAGATTTTGTTTGTGTCGTGAGTGATCATGCCTATGTCTGTGAAGCGCGATCTGGGCTTGGGATACTGGATCGTCCCTTCCCAGCATGCACAGTTGTTATGTAAGCCATACAATTACCTTTAGCTTCTTCGATGTCTTTCAAATCCTTTCCAGACTAAGGTCTTGGAGAACTTGAACCGACGTGACCCGGACGAGATGAAGCTCTCGTTACAAACGTGACCACAGACAGAGGCTATGTTGTCCAAACCAAGCGCACGAAAAAGCCGAGTGTATACGAACCATTGGTTGTGGCACGAGCCTAATCCAACCCATCTGATAATAGAAAGGGCAGTTCGGGGCTCGCATCAATCTTATGCACAATCTCGCCGGTGCGCCAAAACTGCAAATTACAATCCTTTTCGGAGTGCACACGTGTAACAGATTTTGGAGAATGCGTACAACTGACATCGAATAAATAATGATTAAATGAACAAAGAGTTGCTCGTCCATTACTTGTACAGACATGGCCTGTTCACAATTGCATTTTTTTCTTCTAGGAGTCTTCTTTTTCACCCCGGTCTATCCAGGAACGTATGAGATAACCATTTCGCATCCGAAGTAAATTAATTCGCAACTCAATTCGTTTTCGTTGTTACTCATTACATGTTCAATTGCAGATGGAAGTTTGTTAAAGACATATTGCCGGTAACGGTGACGGAAGGGAATACGGAGCTTCCACAAAAGAGCCTGATCGTCGCAGGATACGACTTGACTGGATCCATTAAGAGCGAGGATGTACCAATCGTCGGAGCACATATTGCTCTCTACGCAGATCCAGATGTAAATATTATTTACTTCAAGCACGTTCCACATTTTTTTTATGTTACATTTACAGAATCAAAATCCATCAGTTAGGGGTTGCGACAAATCTGATTTGAAAGTGTTTAAAGCTAAGGGTTTCTTATGCCACGCAGTGAGCGACACGAATGGAAACTATCTATTTCCATCGCTTTCAAACGGAAAATATTACGTGGTGCCATTCTACAAAGGACAGAGCGTTCACTTTGAACCCAACAAAATTGAATTCACCATCTCTCATGACGGTGTCACCCTGAAAAAAAGTTTCGAGGTAATATAAAAATATTGCTTATTCTTCTTTTACTTACAAGATTTTTCTGTAGATTGCAGGATTTAGTGTAACCGGTAGGGTATTAAACGCTCCTAACGGCGCTCCTCTCGAAGGAGCTGAGATTATGATTAATGGTAAATCGATTGGCACGACCTCGTCTAGCGGCACGTACAATTTGGAAAAAATTAAGGCTGGTACTTACACTATACAAGTTGTCGCTAGTGACTACAAGTTTGAATCCCAATCGATGAAAGTTAGTCCCAGTGTAAATGAACTGCCTAACATCTATCCACAATCGTACAAAGTATGCGGGAAAGTAATCAGCGACAAAATGGAGTCCGTGCAAGTTTCAATAACTCGCATCGGCTCTACTCAACATATTGCCCTTCAAACAGATTACAACACCGGAAAATTCTGCCAGCACCTAACGCCCGGCAAATACCAAGTCCAAGTTAATGTGCCACAATCTCAAACATTACAGTACGTATATTAATAGCATTGCGCAAATTCGTGCACACGCGCGAATTTTGGTTTCAATTCAATAAAACTTTGTTTGCAGGTTCTTCCCAATTACACAATTGATTGAAGTAATCTCATCTCCTGTTAACGACATTACCTTCTCTCAATTGAAAGCCACGATTACTGGAGACGTCGATTGCCAGAAGTCCAGACCTGATTGCGCTGGTTTGAAGGTGATCTTTAAAGCTACCATTGACTCAGAGCAGTACATTGCTAATGTGATTGATAACAAATACGTTTTGAATGATATGAGACCAGGCACTTATAAGGTATCCTTATCAAGTAACAATCTTTGCTGGAAGGAGAAGGAATTCATAATCACCATAACCAGTACCACACACAAGGTCCCTACCTTCGTTCAAAATGGATATTCGATCACGTTTGTTACCTCTCACGATACTAAAGTCACTTACAAAGTTCCTGGTCAAGACGGTAAAGTTGAAGCTCTCCCACTGGCCAAAGGCAACTCTAAGCATTGCGTCCAAAAGGCAGGCGTTTATAAATTTAATTTGGATAGTTGTCACACTTATTCATCAAACGTGATTACTTATGATACCAATCAAAAAGTAAACGAAATCATCATCGACGCTGAAACACACAAGAACGTTTTAGCTATCTCAGCCAACGAAGATTTCGGTAACATCTTCGTATCAATCAGCATTGAAGGTGTGAAGAAAATGCACGGCCCGATCAAATTCGGCAACCAGAAATACCTCATCGAAATCTTCTTGAGCGCTGGTGAAACCGCCATCATAGTTCCACAATCCGAGGAATTATACTTCAATCCTCCAATCTTGTCGATTAAGGGAGATGGCGATTGCGCTGATCTGGGTGTGAAGTTCGAAGCGAAGAGAGGAAAGGTATTCAAGGGAAGAATCAACCCACCCTTACAAGGTGTACAAATTACTGTGGAGTCTGAAAACACCGATTTGCTTTTGGACGAATCAAACAGTGAAGGTTATTACAAATTCCCACCTCTAGATGATTCCAAACCATATAAAGTCCAAGCAAAGAAAGACTTCTACGTTTTAATTGGACCCGATGCAAACGGTGATTTCCTTGCACATAAACTTGCTGAAGTTGTCGTTGAAATTCTGGATGAAACTGATGGTCTGCCGCTTCAAGGAGCTTTACTCTCATTATCGGGTGGAGAAAGCTACAGGAGCAACATGCAAACTGATGAGAATGGCAAAATTAAGTTTCCCAGTCTTAGTCCCAGCGAGTACTTCTTGAAGCCTATGATGAAGGAATATAGCTTTAACCCACCATCGAAAATAATTAAAGTTGAAGTAGGAGCTTCCGTTAAAGTCCAATTAAAGTAAATTTATTTTTCTTTGTTAATTTTACATGAAATAATTTATCATTTATATTTTAGAGGTAAAAGAGTAGCTTATAGCGCATACGGTTTTGTAACGTCTTTGAACAATCAACCCGAGGAAAGAATGATTGTCGTGGCTGATGGTAACCACAATTGCTCCCAATATTCCGAAGAAGCCACCTCCGAATCAAATGGATATTTCCGAATCAGAGGTTTAATTCCTTACTGCTCCTATGAAATCAAAGTTAAAGGCGGTGTGGATGAAAAAGACACCATTGAAAGATCTACTCCGGCCAGCTACGAAGTTGCAGTATGTCAATACTTTTATACTACAAGATTATAGTAATTAATAACTATTTCATTTTCAGTCTATTACATCAGACATTACGGATGTGCACATGGTTGTCTTCCGCACATCTCCAAACACAGATATAATGGTAAAAGTCCACACTGCAAATCCAGAGCATTACAAGAACCTCCGTGTCAAATTAGCCAGGGAATCATCTCCAGCTGGTTTAGTACACTCCGTTAAAGTAGACACGAATAATTATAAAATCACCAAGGATTACAATCCCGGAATCATGATTCAAATCCCATCAGTTCCGTACGACGGTAAAAGCTATTCTTTGCAATTGGAATCCTCAACGCCTGCTTTGAACAAAGGCAATGCGCAAATCAAATTCTTCGCTGCGGATAGCAGCTTGAAATTCATACAACTCGATTTCATAATGAAATCGAGCCAAACCGATCAACACATTAAGCAAACCTCCATCTGGACTCTGGCTTTCATCTTTGGAATGATGATTGCTGCTTACAACATCGACAAGATCGTCCAGTTGGTGAAATTCAAAATACCTGTCAATAATGTTGAGAACTTGTGGAAGCCGAAGACTGTAACACCGGAATACGTACCGGTAGAGGAGATCGATCAAATTGTAGAGAACATCAACTCAGTCAAACGTAAAGTGAAATCTAAGCGGATTTAAACCAAAACCCAATTTAGTTAATTAAATACATTTTAGTATTTTGTATTTATTTGTCGTCGTTAGACGACCTCTTTTATTCTAACATTTTGAGGAAAAAAATAATAAAGATAAATCAACTCTAAATAATTAACATTTTATTTATTGTAACAAGTGATTATATAAATAAATGTAGAAGAGAAAACATACAATTACACACTTTAAAAAATGTACCTCATTACATTATTTTAACTATATTAATAATTATTCCTTTTCTATCTAATTTAAATTACATAGACTAGTGGTTTACATTATATTTCCTATTATTTGTCGAACAATAAACTTTTTTTTTTCTTTCAATAACCGCTAAACAGAAGGTGTAGAATATAGAGTCATGGCTCTTACAAAAGAAAAATATTATCTAAAACTAATAAGAAACATGTTTTTTTAAGTCTAATAGAATATAATTATGCGCATCTATCGCATTTCTTTTCTGTTTGTACTAAAAATATAAATTAAACCGTAGTTGCAACATACTTATTCTTATCACCTAAAACTTATTTATACCGAGTGTTATATAGTAAAAAAAAACAGAAGCCAAACAAACCCAGTATGTAACAAAACAAAAATATACATATATAAATAATATATACACATATATATATTTAAATGGAGATATAAATTGTAATAAATCTCAAATGTTGTAGAAAATACCGGAAACAGAAGTTACATTAAAAGTTCTTTTTTGTTTTATAAATATATATATTGGCAGTAATATGTAAGTCCTATTGCTTTTCATTTTAAGTAATTGTTCTTCAAAGGCTTAAAAAATGATTGCTAGCTGGAAGAAATTGTTATTTTCTTTTCTTTTTTTTTACATAAAAACTAGATCCGCGAAGGAAAACAACATATACATATGTACCTAGAGTATATAAGAATAACTGAAAATAGGTTGTCGTGGTATCTTATGTACAAACTTTGTGTTTTACATCTTTTTGTGAACGAACATCAAAAAATACATATTTATATATTAAATTTTCTAAATACCTTATAATTAAGATATAGTACAGTTCGACTTCTCGCTAATGTTACCGTCCGCTTTCTCAATTTCGTTTAGTAGCGCGTGGAATATATCCGAGACGGCCTGCAACAAAATCAAATTATTGTATTACGCATACATTACTAAGTAATTTTAGTAATTTGATCATTATTGATTTGGTCTAATCGTAACCCTTGTGAAAAACACGACACCTTGGATACCTACAAGCGCAACCTTGACACTCTTCCCATAGGTTGCCAAGCGACCTAATCTAGGTTACAAGTATTACATATCCAATTGTCTGGCTAAATAATGTAAAAGAAAATATGCAAAACTTAGTTAAATTGCATTTCAATGAAAATGCATAAAACTTAAGTAAATCATCACAAGGATGATGATAACCTACAGATAAACAGATATAATTATATTACGTTTTATTATAAATAAACGTATTTATAATCAATTTATGTTAGCACATGTTTTTAGTGTAATAAATTGGATTTTATTCGTTAAACTTTAAAGAACTATAATACTTACATCATTCTGTTTGGCTGATGTCTCCAAGAAAACAGCCTTCCAATCTTCAGCAAGACGTTTGCCCTCCTCAGTTGAGATCATCCTCTCCATGTGTAAATCAGTTTTGTTCCCTACCAGCACTAAGGGAACACTGCAATTTTCTCTGATTAGTTTCAAATAACATTTGCAAATAATGTAAAACTTACTGGACCTTTCCAGTGATGTCAAGCAACTTCTCATAAATAAGCTTGACCACCTCAAAAGACTTTGTGCTGGTTATGCTGTAGACCAGCACATATCCATGCACATCTATGCTGTATTGAGAGGGAAAAATGGAATACTCGTCCTGTCCAGCAGTGTCAACAAGCTTGAGCTCGTACTCCTGTGAATTGATCCTGGTAGATTTGGTGAATGCTAAAATTGGTATTGTTTATATGGGTTCATGAATATGGTTCATTTTCCTTACTGTTTTCTATAGTTGGATCATACGAGTCCACGAATTGGCCTTCAACAAACTGGATGCTCAAAGAGGATTTACCTGTGGGGTGTGAAAAGCAAAGGGGGGGTTAGGTAAAAGAATTTTTTTTTCGGAGAGTGCAGATGTTCGAATTCTGACCTACTGATCGGTATCCCATAACAGCAATTTTCCGTTGTTTGCAAGGCATCTTGGAGTGCTTCAAGTTCGTAGACGCGAATAATATTTTTGATTAAAATACGAATAAAACGTACAGTTCTAAAACGATGTTAAGGACACGATCACTATCACAAACGGGGGAAAAATTGTACCACAGCGTACGCTGTTCACACTGCTTCTGTCAAAATGTCAGAAAGAATAATACACACACTCGCATTCCGTACCCAAACAGCCATTGATGGTTGTACCACAACACTAAAATTTACTACTTTTCAAAACAAAAACGCAACGCGCGGTTCCGCCAACGTATTTCAACTAACTTACCTCCGTTATTCTTTTTTTTTAACTGAAAACCGTTGTTTACATTGAAACTATCAGCGCCAAATTCAAAGGTGATGAGAGAAAGGGCCGAAACGTACTGAACAATCCAAACCAATTCGTTAATCAAGCTTCGAGTCAAGACAGTCTCAAGAATTGCGCACTAGAAATTGTGACGCACCGAGAAATCATGCTTCACAATTTGTTTACTATTGACACGCTTTATCACAATATTATCGATTGCATAAGCGTCGCGCGGAGGATTTCCACAAAACAACAATCGTCAACAGGAAAAGCAGGTAGCTATCCTACGGCGCAATTGCGGTTCCTACCGGTCAGGGTTCAAGCAGGTTCCGCGTCGATGCAGGATCTTGTCCTTCGCTTCCGGGAAACTTGTACTACAGTTGTTACATAATTTCTAATTCCTTATGCATACTATTTCAATATTCTAATAAAACCCAATTTGAATTTATAAAAAAAAACTTAAAAATAAATTTAATTATCTTTATTCCGTTAGAAAATTGTTTGTAATGTATCATGGAAGATCAATTCATAGGTCTTTCCGAAACCTTTAGATAACTTCTATATTCGATAAATTCTGGTTATTCCCAATTATTATATGCAATAAGATCAAATTATAACTTTTCACAAATTTTGTATCTCTTATTTTTCTTTGTTTATTTTTTTCTCATTTGGAGGCCAATCATCTTCTTGTTTGTGATTAATGCTTATAGGCCTTTACGAAACGATTATCTAGTTATTCCCAATTATTACATGTTATAAGAGCACATTTATAGCTTTATGTAATTACTTTTTTCTATTATAATTCATGACTTTTCATGTTTTGTATCTATTATTGTATTTTGTTTATATAATTTCATTCAATGTTTTTTTTTCCATTTGGAGGTCGATTGTGTTGGTAGTGAAGCAATGGACTTTCCGAAACCTTTGGATAATTTACGTTAATCCAAATGTGTACATGCAAATTGAATTTAAAAAAACACATTTTTCTATTGAACAAGCTTTGCGACAATGCAAAATTTAATATTCCGATTAAGGGAAACTGCCAGTATTATTGTTTTTGTATAATTTACTTTTCTCGAGTATATAATACATACATGATAAAGTCGTAGTCGAGTATTCAAAATATGAATGAATTATTTAAAAATAAAGTTATTTAAGCAATATTCTCAATGAATATTATGAAAATATTATCTCAAGATTAACATTGTAAGAATTATATTTTAGTTACAAATAAATATAGATTAGATTAAGACTACCGCAGGTAGTCTTAATCTAATCTATAAAGTAGAATGTGGTATATTCATAAGTGTGTGTCTATTATATTTTCATTCATATTTATCTGTTTCGAAGGACGTGTTTCCATTTATTTAGTTTTATTTTTCATATTCTGGAAACTTCAAATAATTTCTATATGTTAATAATTTATTTCCTGGTAAAATTTGAATGTTTTTAATAGTTGTGTATGATTTTCCTTCTGAGCGGAAAACTAGTAACATTCATTTATATATAATTTACTCGTTTATCTAACAAAGTCAAAGTCTTACATAATCATTATTTTCAATGAGTTTAATAATAAAATAAACTGTTTTTCATTCAAAGTAATTTTCCATTTAAATCATTTAGCTTATCTTAATTCTAATTGAACTCTAGTATTTTTATTTGAAAGTCCTTGTGTATCCTTTTTTTGTTATGCAAAATAGAGATATTTCTTAATCTTTACGGTATCATCATATAAAATGTTGTCATTATTGTTTACAATATTGAAGATAAAAACGTGATAGTAAACAGTTTCAAGTAAGATGACTAATTCAAATCTTTGTAATTATGTCGTAATTAGTTAAAAAAAACTACGCAAATTATAATAATATTAGAAAAGAAACGTGGAAGGATTATAATTAAAGATTTTTATGTTAATGTAATTTTTGTATTTGGAAGATTTCTTATTAATAAAATAAAAAGGTTATGATGATAACCAGATGGAAAAGGGTAATTACAAACTGTGTAATGATCGAATGGAAAATTTCAGCGACGACGAAGGATTTGCGGAGATTAGAAGTGTTAATGAACCGAATCGTCGATAAGCGAAACTTATTGAATAGAGTTATCAATTATTTAAACGCAAATTCGCCGATAACTGCAATGCAATCGTTGAATTAATCCTTAAAACATCTTCGACGTACTTTTTTGTTTTGTTATTGCAACTGTTTTTATCTTGACAATTGGCAATTATTGAATCGTTCTTCGCGTCCTTCGAAATCGTTTGTTTTGCGCCCGTGTCTCTTGCACACTCGCGCAAATATAATTGCTATACATTGATATGCAAGGACAAACAGAAGAAATACATTTTTTTTTCAGTCCTATACTTATACCTAATTGTATAGGGACATTTGCATTACAAATTGTTTAAGCTCACGTTTGCGTCGCAGCAATTTCTCTATTCCATACGCAATTGTTTCATTACTCTACAATGAATGCATGTACATCCTTTTTAGAATGATCTATTTATATCTTTTCATTATAACCCTGTGTTGAAAATTATTAGCCGATCAAAAAACATCTTATTTCTATTACAACATCCGTTCGTTTATACAGAAGAACGATTTTTTACTAGGGTGGAGATAATTCAACAACCTATCCTATATTGTTCATCATTTCTTTAAGTAATATTTATAATTTAAAGCTTTTGTCAGAATGTCCTAGGTCGATAGTTGGTTGGCCCAAATTAATTATATTTACCGATTAATCTTTTTTTTATGAAAAATTGATATTATGAACAATGAAATCTGGCTAAATATAGGTGATCTAGATGTTGGAAATATTATGATTGAAGATCAATTTGGTAGATAAACTGGTAAGACAAACAAGTAATGTTTATTATGTACAAATTATATAGTGGATATTCATATACATATATTTTTCATCATGTAAACAGTACAAAATGTCGAAGGAGTAGGCTTAATGTAGATGCCTGAATTATGATGTAATACATATTAAAACTTCACAATAACAAATATAATAAAATTTTAAATGAAACACATGAAACACTTACAAATTTGTACAGTTTTACGGTTGTTTTTTTCCACTAGGGAAATTGTGCACCATATACAAATATACTTCATTTCTTGATTTTTTTTTATAAAACGAGTACAAAGTCTTCTCTTTAAAAATATAGTATTTTGTAGCTACATGTCTATTGGTACATAAATAAAGAGAAGAAAACAAGAGAAACTTATATAAAGCATAACAACTTAACAGTTACGAAAAAAAAAAATAATAAAATTAGAACTAAAACAAATATTGTTACCGTGTATTGTGTTCGCGATGGTCATCGACAGAACGTTTCAATATTATCTAATATAATTTCCTTAATAAGTAGAAGAACAAAAATAATAATCAGAGCACTAAATCAAAATAGAAACAACATAAATTGGCCTAAAGGTGTGCCTTACTCTCAAGATTGAATTGCGTTTTTTCTCGATAAGTTACATTGCAAGATGATTCCGGCGATATAACTCTCATACTTATGCTGAACGCATTCAAAACAAAGTGTATGTATTATAGTTATTCAATGCCGCGCGGACCATCAATGGGCATGGTATGTAGAACCTCATCGAGCAATTGCAGAGCTCTGTGCAAATGAACTTCAATCCAGCAAGGTGTCTCCTTGATAGACTGACGCGGATAGTCAGGACCCCAACCCTTGACGAAACTCAAACGAAGAATGCAGAGTCGTCGCAGATCGTCTACACCTATGCCAGTAGCAGCAGATAAACCTACAACAAATAAACATAAGAGAACCATTTTATTACGTATACAAGAGTTTCGTACTTATAGCAGGTGCAATACCTCCCACGGCATGTGGTCCAGGTATGTGTCCTGCAACTGCGGCAGCTTGTGCAGCGGCAGCGGCTTGTGCCGTGGCTGCTTGGGTAGTCATCTGACCATGGCACTGTCTAAGGTCAAATACTTTTATGTAGGCAGCTGGGTATATCTTGTGGACAGCATCCCCAGGTGCCCTACCTGCTTCCCTATCCAAGTAGTAACTCTGCACGAAGACTGAATGGTCACTTATACATCTAAGCCACACATCACCTTCGCCTCTCAAATCTAATTGCACGCCTTTGCCAATGTGGAGTCTAAAAATATACATCGCATTGTATTCTTTTAATAGCAATAGTGTAGTTTATAATCTAACCTGGCCTTCTCGCTTTGATCTGTACGATGGACATTGCTTAGAGCGCCAAGGCAAAACCTATTGCCGCCGCTGGGATCTACATAGCCATCGATGGTAACATTCGGACAACTCGAAGATACCTTGAATGTCTCGCCTACCTGAGTATCTAACTCAAAGTAGGCTACTGAACACCAGTACTCCGGAGCTGGCTGTGCTGATAACAAGCAGACGTCGTTAATTTGATTGTTTGTATTGTGATTCCCTGCAAGAATTCAATTCGATAATTCAATGAACAAGCAATAAAAATATTAAATAACTCCCTACAGTACGTATTGTGATGTCTTGTGTCTGGGGGCTGCATTGATTGTGTATAGGTCAATGTAGCCATAGGTTGAGTACCCTGACCGCTATTCTTATTCGCCGACTGACTTGAGAAACCGTTTTGCTGTAGAAGGGGAGAAACGGGAGAACTATTCCCACCTAGAAATGAATGAATGTTTGCGACTTAATATATGACCGGTGTTAGAAATACCCCATGACTCACCAATATTATCAGTTACATTGGAATTAATGTGAAGGGGTGTACCGGGATTCCCAGTTGGTTGTTGCTGGGGTAACGAACCTGACGGCACCTGCGGCTGCAGGTTGTGTTGGTGCACCGGGACAGAGACAGGTGCTAGAAAACAACCGCAAAGGGTTAGTTTGTATCTGGAGTATAGCCGGTCTCTATCCGAAATGGATAAGCGTAGGTCAGTACACGATGAATGTGGGTCGGTCGGGTCGATGCAGGTCAACCATACAGTTCTTAAGGATCGTTTCTTGTATACATCGATCTCAACTGCCACCAATTACCATGTCGTTCATAAAAGGTTAATGTGATCACAAAACGCTCCTGTTTACCATATATGCCGCGCAATCATCATTAGCGCAATAAAGTCCACGTTATACGCAAGAATTCTACAAGCTACAACTCTAAATATTCGATTCTACACCAAAAACTATTAATACTACTACAATCTCTAAAAATTACATTGAATTGACAACAATTTTATCAACTTCGGATCAAAACGTTTTGAAAGGTAAATAAAGTTTGTTTTTGCTTCAACATTTATTTTTTAACTTAGCAATATATTTTAGATATCACAAGCAATTCTAAATCTTTATACTATTCAGCTATTTCATGCTTCTTCGCTTTAGTTTTATTTTCTACCATAATAAATAATTTAATTTTATAATTTGATATAATAATGACAATTGAAAATAATCTAAATTTTAATTGAGCAAATTAATAATAAATTTTAAAAAACAAACATTGTGTACTAAATAGAATAAGTTTGTATACATAAATGGTTTTTTACATTCAAGTCTCTTTTTATGCGCTTTACAAGTCCGGGATATTGGCGTATACCCGCACTATCCGAGGTATTACATTACTTATGTAAAAGAAAGAGAATCATTTCTGTCGACAATTTATTATTGTTTCTAATTTAAGTTTCCTTTGCTCCACTGACATTTAGAACCGAATCTGGCACTGTGCGAAGTGCGAAAATTTAGCCAACGCGAATTAAAAAAAGAAGAAGTTATTGCTTTATTTAATTTTTTTAAAAGCAAAATCACTTACTATAAACTGGCTTGTTTTTTTGTCTTCCGTTCACCAACAATGCTTTCGAACGATTGAATTAATATTCGATAGAAATACCGAGTCTGAATGTGAAGCAATAGATCTCTACTAATATTTGAGCTGATATAGATTTAGTATGCTTTGTTCTATTGAAAATATAAATGTTCTAATAAATGATTCATTGTTTTTGTAATTAACATTAATTTTTATATTAGATATTGCAATTTAACAACTGCTTCAACTTCTGTATTTATATTTTAATTAAACTGATTAAGTTTTTTAAAGGATTGACAGTTATAACTTAAAAGCGAATTGCGATTTTCATTAATTTAAATTTAAAATTTATACTCTACTCAGAATATATATGGAGACAATAATTTCGGATGTTGAATACTAAGTGGCAATTAACATAGCAATGGACTGCAGTAGTTATATTTACTTGCAATAATAAACAATTTATTTACTTCGTTAGTATATTATTCTAATATTAAATAGCAAAATAAAATAAAAGTAGGGGTTGAAATGGATAAAAAATAAAAACATAAAGCTTACTAATATGATGCATTCGAGATGGTATCCAATTACTTCTTTGACAGGCATCTTGCCCTGTTTCCAATTTGGGGACAGTTGATGGTCCCAAAACTGATCTATTATTTGCATTATATAAACTTGGGTCACCTAATAACCATGCATAATAGAAATAATGAAAAAAAATTAAAAGTGATAAAAAAAAATAATAAGGGAGTGGAATTTATATATTTAATATAGGACTTACCAGCCTGAGGGGACTGTAATGTTGTTATATTGAAGTTCTGCTGTGGGGGATGATGTTGGATGGTCTGTGTAACACCTAGTTCACCATCCACATCCATGCTGTTTCCAGCAACTGGGCCTCCAGCAGTGTATTCATCTTTTACCAATCGAGAGGGTCCTGACTGAATAGTCAAGCCTGAGAGATCTATACCAGGTGACACAACCCTCTCATAATGATAAGGATTAACACAAACAGAATCACACTTCAAATCAAATGCAAATGTGCAATATTTAACGTGTTTCAGTTCATTCTTGTGGAGATCAGGCCAACGCCAAATGCGAGCGTATATAACGTGAGGAAATCCTTTTCGACCTGCAACCTAAACTTAGCACATTGAAATTGATGTATTGCTTGGAGTGACATTAATTACTTGTAATCGGCCATCAAGTGTCCTCTGTATTGTTACACATTTACTCGGGTGTGATCCATTCGTTGTAATAGCAGTAATCAAGGAATCTAATTCATCCCGTTTCTCTTTCAATTTCTTTACTAACGATTCAATCGCCCTCTTAGCAAAACTTTCACTCTCACCACCCTGACGATGGCACATGAGACTGTGGACTATACTGAGGCATGCATCTGCTGAGGTCGGGGCATTCGTTGTTAACCCAGACATGTCACGAACTAAAAAATTATTGTAGCAAGTTTATAATACAATGTCAAGTGTATGAGGAGTTACCTATTTATTGTTTATTTAGTTTTTAATTTTTGTTTTTACTGTTTTTTTGTTTATTAATTTTATATTGTTAATAATATTTCAAATTCTTTTCAGTAGTGGGAGGTAAGTGAACATTGTCTTTGTTGACTTTCAATTTTTTTTAGAACAGTGTGTTTATATTCTGGTCTAGTCTCTTGGAGTATCTTTTATGTACTAGCCACTAGCTTATTAAACATAAATAAATATAGCATACTGGGTTTCTAAGCAATAAGCACGCAAAACTTGAACCCCCACCACACTATAAATATATCATTCTAATCAATAATAGGTTGTTTTATTTATACACTGAAAGAAAATGGGATAAAACAAAACTAAATAACAAACGGATATTCACCTTCTTGCGTCGGCACTCCCGTATAAAGATTGCCGGTGTATGAGATGCCGACCATTATTGAAAACGAAAACTGATCTGTATTTCTAAGCAAAATCAAGACTATTTGATATTTGCCATTTGCATTTAACGAGCAGCAGAAGCTGGCGATGGAACACAACGGGTATGCAAGGGGGGAACAACTCGCATGTTAATCCTGAATAGTTCTACCTACACCACTAAGCGGCGTTCCAACAATTTAGGTATCTGCAACCTCCGCTACACCTAGCAACCTCAACACCTACCTACCTAAAGTTCACTGCACAACCTCCAACAACCTCTACCACCATTACCGAATCACTACTCTTCAAATTGCTTCACATGCCAACCCTATGTATCATTATTATTATTCCTATCGCAGCCACTTATTGATTTTCCTCCATCACTTAGGCAACCCAAAGCTCTCATCCAACTTCTTTGGCTATTTAAATTAAATACTATCCGAGCAAACTGTAGGTCTTCTTAAAGACAAAATAGAGAAGAACTGGTTCTTGAAGGACAAAAAGATGTAATTTGTTAAATCACAGTAATTCCAATACATGATCTTCTTAAGCTTAACAAAAAATTAAACTACATTTGAAATTAATTCCTTAAAATCAATGATCAACTCATTTGTAATTAGTACTAAATTGTATCTTAATATATAAAGGTTTCTTAAAATAAATTGACATACATAATTATGTACATAAACATTTGAAATATTGCCAATTCACTTAATACATGTTAATTTTAAAGCTACCAGTAAATAAAAATTGAAATATTTAGTACATAGTAATAGAAGTACTTAAACATATAATAAAGTAACAGGACAAAACGAGTGAGATTGTATATCAACAAAAAGTGAATTTAAACCAATTCAGATGCAATTTATCAATTGGAAGCATTAAATGAATGATCGTTTGGTTGCCTGATAGCAATCTGGCTCAATCTTCTTAAATTGCATCTATTTGTTTAATATGGTCCATTCACATAATTATTTAATTAAATAAAATCCTCTTGATTTTTTATGCACAAAATACATCGTGTTATTATATAATAGCACACACATGCCAGCAAATGCATTGCTTTACTTCCTCTGTCAGTACATATAGATTATTTAATATAAGGATACAAAATTTGTAGTAATCATCTATTCAAAAGCGTATATATATATATATTTATTTATCAGTGTTATAATTGAGATTCATCTGTATTTTAATATTAATGGAACAGGGACTAGTCTTGTATTGATTTCGTCCTTATATCCGAGATACAGAGCATTTCTTTAAATTTATCTTCATGTCTTGACATCATTTTACAACAACAGGAAATATATAGAAGCGGATGCATTTGGTTGTGATTGTTGTCCTAGATATCTGAATAAAAACCCTTAGTCCAAACTACAGCATAATAGCAATCTTATTATATTATTCTCAAAAATTAAAAAAGAAGATCTAAATATGTGTAAAAAGCAATGATTTAGGCTAAGTAATATAAGAAGGGTGGATTTTTAATATGATGAGATTCTATTAAATTAGAATCAATAATCATATGGTTCAAAGACGTAAACTGGTTGGATACCGTTTCCATGGCAGTTGTAACTACGAGTTATATACAGACCCTTAATTGTAAGGGCATTGACTTTATGTCGTAATAGAAACCGGTTTTTGTTTTGAATGAAAACGTGAACAGGTATATTGTAAAGGCTAGTAGGATATCATGAAACGTAAAATGTATTCCGAGAAAATCCATTTAGTTTGTTTATTTTGGTTGCATCTAATTTACAAGAAGCTTGACCTAGGTACGACATCTATCGAAAACTACGAGAAGTCATTGATCAATTTATTATACAATGCTTATTCAAATGTGTTAGGCCTGTAATGAACGTTAATTCATTCAATCAGTTATGAATTAACATCGAAGTTTAATTAATGTTGTAATATGTTTATCAGTTTTGAGTCATAAATTGTGATTATTTTTTTGGTAGTACTAAGTAATACTTAGTTTAGTTTGAGAATGTTCTTGTTTTTAAATGAAATATTAATGTTTTTGTATTGTTTTTTATGGGATAGGAAGGAAAAGTAGAGTTATTTGTAGGTAATTTCTTGGTATAAATGCATAAATGTTTGCGTGTTATTGAAGACAGTTATTGTCTTTACCGACTTATGACATGACACCGGCTGAATTGCAGCTGGCAGCGCCGCGTTCAGTCCTGTCACTATTGTCAGTCGCAGTGTAGTATAATTTGTAAATAGGGTGTTGGAGTTTTAACCCTGAGTTTCCTTATCCTCGCATTGCACCAAGGCTTCAAACACCCCCAGCAGTCAAATAAGGTAAGCAGGGGATGTCCAGCGGTCTAATTAGAATCGAAAAACAAGTGCAATTGTCCATTGGACCATTTTAGGGGGAGGGTCATTGATGACCTTTTCATAAATCCCAATCAAAAGGGTTGAAATGAGGTCAATCAAATTAAAGTATTCCAATTAGATTTTAGGGTAGTGAAAGTATCTGGCAGCCCTTGAAAATGCCAGCTGTGCGAGGAGATGGAATGCGTGGCCTGGCGGTCTTCATATCTGATATCAGGAACTGTAAGTCAAACCAATCAATCCACCCACTCAATGTTTTATGAAAAAAAATATTTGTCATTCAATTTAGGCAAGAGTAAAGAGGCTGAGATCAAGCGCATTAACAAGGAACTGGCCAACATTCGTGGCAAGTTCAAAGGAGACAAAACACTTGATGGTTACCAAAAGAAGAAGTATGTGTGCAAACTGCTCTTCATCTTCCTGCTTGGACATGACATCGATTTTGGCCACATGGAGGCAGTGAATTTGCTTTCATCAAATAAATACTCTGAAAAACAAATTGTGAGTAAACCAGAGATTGTGACTTGTCAACACACACTTTCTTATCAATGAAAATATTTTGCAGGGTTATCTGTTTATATCTGTCTTAGTAAATACAAACAGTGAATTAATCAAACTTATTATACAAAGCATAAAGAATGATTTGGCGTCGAGGAATCCAATTCACGTTAACCTGGCTTTACAATGTATTGCAAATATCGGTAGCCGGGAAATGGCTGAGGCTTTCGGTAATGAAATACCAAAGCTTCTTGTTTCTGGAGATACCATGGACGTGGTCAAGCAGAGCGCCGCGCTGTGTCTTCTGCGGTTGTTCAGGACATCCCAAGAGATCATCCCTGGAGGCGAATGGACATCCAGGATCATCCACCTATTGAACGACCAGCATATGGGTGTAGTCACTGCTGCCACAAGTCTGATAGATGCTCTAGTTAAGAAGAACCCAGATGAATACAAAGGATGCGTTTCTCTAGCAGTCAGCAGATTGAGTAGAGTAAGTTAATAAAAGCATCTTCATTTTACATATCTAAATTTATACATTATACACAGATTGTAACTGCAAGTTATACTGATCTTCAAGATTACACTTACTATTTTGTACCAGCTCCTTGGCTATCTGTAAAATTACTTCGTTTGCTTCAAAATTACACTCCACCAGGTAATTATTATTTATTTTAACTACTTTACGTATTTTCATTGTCAATAGAATTTCGAGCTTTAATTGTATGTAAATTCATATTAACATTCTTATAAGGACTACGAAAATAACAGTAATTTCATATTAGAATATTAAAAAATATTCCTTAACGCTTCAATCCTCAACAAATTTCCACTAAAAGTATATAAATCCAATTAGAAAATTCTTGTTATTTTAAATTGAATAATATGAATCAATAATAAGAACATAAGTTCTTGTAAATCGCATTAATAACCCACCTGATGCATATTAGCGTGATTGCGTGTTATTAAGAAAACTAACGTTGTGTAACGATTAAAAATGTAATCATTTTATTTGAGCAGAAACATGTTTCTTTTAAAACGTTTTTCATTTCATAGATTAATTTTAATTACCGTTTTTCGCAAATCTATTACTTGTTAAATTGTTTATAGCATCAAAGAAAAAAATCTGATTATTAGATTTTACAACATAAATTTAGTAAATGTAATTATTTTTTTGATTATATGCTTATATTTGAATGAGTAATTAATTCAGACTGTAAGATAAACATCAGACACTTTTTCTAGAGTTAATTAGATTAAATATTGGTGAGATTATAACGAAAGATCTGTTTTTGTTCTGCAGCTGAGGATCCTGGCGTTAGGGGCAGATTGAATGAATGTTTAGAGACAATATTGAATAAAGCTCAAGAGCCACCAAAATCGAAGAAAGTTCAGCATTCAAATGCAAAGAATGCAGTGCTTTTCGAAGCTATAAGTTTAATAATTCACAATGACAGTGAACCGAATTTACTAGTTAGAGCGTGCAACCAGCTCGGACAGTTCTTAAGTAACAGGGAAACCAATCTCAGATATTTAGCGCTGGAGTCGATGTGCCACTTGGCCACGTCGGAATTTTCGCATGAGGCCGTTAAGAAACATCAGGAGGTGGTGATTCTATCCATGAAAATGGAGAAGGATGTCTCCGTGCGTCAGCAGGCTGTAGATTTGCTGTACGCTATGTGTGATAAGAGTAATGCCGAGGAGATTGTTCAAGAAATGCTAAATTATTTGGAGACAGCGGACTATTCGATAAGGGAAGAAATGGTCCTGAAGGTAGCCATCCTGGCTGAAAAGTACGCTACTGATTATACATGGTATGTGGACGTAATATTGAACTTGATCAGAATAGCAGGTGATTACGTATCCGAAGAAGTTTGGTACAGAGTTATCCAAATTGTTATCAATAGGGACGAGGTACAAGGGTATGCTGCCAAAACAGTATTTGAAGCTTTACAGGCTCCAGCATGCCATGAGAACATGGTCAAAGTGGGTGGTTACATCCTTGGGGAATTCGGCAATTTGATTGCCGGCGATCATAGGTCGTCCCCATCTGTACAGTTCCAATTGCTACATTCTAAGTATCATCTATGTTCACCAATGACTCGCGCACTTCTACTTTCCACCTACATCAAATTTATCAACTTGTTCCCTGAAATACGCACACATGTACAGGAAGTGTTCAAACAGCATAGCAATCTGAGATCAGCGGATGCCGAGTTGCAACAACGTGCTTCGGAATATTTGCAGCTTAGCATTATCGCAAGTTCTGATGTACTCGCTACTGTTTTGGAGGAGATGCCGGCATTCCCAGAGAGGGAAAGTTCCATATTGGCGGTGCTGAAGAAGAAGAAACCTGGACGGGTACCAGAGAACGAAATCAAAGAAGGCAAGAGCCCAACACCAGTTACTAATCACAACAATGAAACCACAAACAGCAACAATGCAGTATCCAGCGATTTGTTGGGCTTGTCTACACCTCCAATTGCTCAACCAGGCAATACCGGTGTTCTCCTGGATGTTCTTGGTGACATATACGGAGGGAAGCCCAATAACTCGACTCCAACTTCAACTACGAGTAACATGTACAATCCTAAAAAGTTTGTATGCAAGAACAACGGGGTTCTCTTTGAGAATGATTTGATTCAGATAGGTGTCAAGAGCGAGTTTCGACAAAACTTGGGACGCCTTGGACTCTTCTATGGTAACAAAACAACCATGCCATTACACAACTTCGTACCAAGTTTGCTTTGGTCGGAGGATCAATCTTCCAAACTAAGCATGCAGATGAAACCCGTGGAGCCGACCTTAGAAGCTGGCGCCCAAATCCAACAGATGCTTAATGCTGAATGTATCGACTATTACACGGACGCACCTTCCTTAGTCATCACATTTGTTTACAACAATATGCCACAGAAATTTACTTTGAAACTTCCTTTGACGATCAATAAATTTTTCGAACCTACTGAGATGAATGGAGAGTCGTTCTTCGCCCGTTGGAAGAATCTCGGCAGGTATACTTTTTGACAAACCTGATTGGAATTCAGTATTTAAAAAGAAACAACATTACATTACAGTACAAATCAACAAAGATCCCAGAAGATCTTTAAAGCTTCAACGCCTATGGATCTTCAGGCAGCAAGAACCAAGATCATGGGTTTCGGTATGCAACTTCTGGATGGCATCGATCCGAATCCTGATAACTTCGTCTGCGCCGGTATTATTCATATGCGTGCATTACAAGTCGGCTGCTTATTACGCTTGGAACCAAATAGAAATGCTCAGGTAAGTTCTACAACGAATAATATACTTAGAACCTTATCTAAAACAAATGATTTATTTTTTGCAGATGTATAGATTAACTGTTCGTTCAAGCAAAGAACCCGTTTCTGTTGAAGTGTGTGATCTCTTGGCTGATCAATTCTAATTTTCTGTTCATTTTTGTTTTCCTTCCTTCTATATTAATTAAACAATTTTGTTACAAATGATAGGGTGCATTCCAAATAAAAAAAAAAGAAGAGAAACACTGAACTTACGCACTTGCCCGGAATGGAATCAGACATAGGTGTGCTCGTAGCTTCCTAATAATGCAAATAGCTTGATAGATCAAACAATAAAAAAATAATTACGATTGAATGAATCGAGACAATATTCAAATTTTTAATTACGACGTCCCTCCTAGATGATCAAACCATGTCTACAACTGGATGTATATTGCATATATTAATTTGTATTGAATCGAAGAAAAAAAAAACTATTAAGGGATTGTTATGTAAAATGGTATATATTGAAAAGTTTAGTTTAGGATAATTACAGAAGTCTTGTAAGCTAAAGGCCAGAATAGAATAGGTTGACTTGTATGAAAAGAGGTTCATATTTTTGAAAGGGTTCAACTGCGCTCGCGTTACCCCCGCGAGTTCTATATATCTATATAGAATTGATTCTTGTATTTCCATGTTAGTGTATTCACTCAACTTCAACCTCTGTCTTCTGTGAACGGATATTTAATCTCGAAACGCAAATTGTATTACTGTGAGAGTACCATAAGTGTTAGTACACGTTACAAATTATTGAAATGAAAAATTTGAAAAAAAAAATCATGAATCCTAGCGTTAAGGAAATATATTATTATTATTATTATTTGTATATGTTGATATGTATAAACTAAGTAAATGCTTACAACATAATGTAGCACTATCTATATGTGTATTGTCTAAACAATTCCAAAATACTTATATATATATAAAAAAAAAATCATTGAATGTTTTTTTGATTTTTGTTTGTTTTCTTTTTCTTCTGTTTTTATTATTATCCGTTTTCTTTTATTTTTAACTGTATGTTTTATTAATATTTTTAACGATGATGAAAATATGCAAAAAAAAAAATAATTATCTGTGTAAGTTATACATGAACAGTACATGCTAATTTGTGTAATATACAAAATATCGAAAATTAATTAAAAAATGTCTATTAATTGTTGTTTTTTTTTTAAGTTGATAAACTTTTGTTACCATTTTTTTAATTTCCCGACTAATAAATTATTTTGATTGAATTTTCCTCACTTTTTCTTGGACCTATAGTTTGTTACGTGGCAACATAATTTTCGTGCATGACGTGCTCTGCGACGCGTGTCTTAGCTTTCCCAGCACTGCTATAAACTTGATACTTTCGTAAAGATATCAAATTCATTCAAAATCTACGGAGAATTAAAAGTGAATAGGATTTTCTTAAACATCGCTGTTTTGTTAAGATCCGACGAGTTTTTTTTACTTAATTACAAGAAAGTTACGTAACTCTTGTTGCATTTCATGATTGCGTAAGATGAGTGACACCCTTACGCACCTTTTTATAAAACAAAAGCAATAAGTTTCGATCGATACAAACAGAATAATTGGAGATGAAAAGCGATGCGTTCTCGAGCGACTGTTGCTAATACTAATTAGGTATTATTGATTAGGTATTAGGTGTAATTGAGAAATATAATAAGAAGAAGCAAAAATAAGCAAAATACCCTTGATATCCGAGATCTGTTTGTTGAAAAATTGTGGATGTTATTTAATGAAGAAAGCAGAGAGAACAATGCGAAAAAAATATGGAAATATGAAAATCAATGAGGTTCAGCATATGGACCCTTTAGCCAAGTACATGGACAATGACATTGTTAAGGATAGCAGCAGATTCACAGTAAAAGGAAATAGTGAAATCGCAGAGCATCAATATACTACTGAAGTTAACCTGGAAGAAGACAGCCAACCAACAAATTAAAAATCATAATGGTAAACTATCCACCGGGAAAGATTACCTACCTAATGTCAACCGCGATCTTAAATTTACTTAATGTTCACATTGATGAACAGATTGTAAATAAAATTACACGACATAAACAAAATATAATTAAATAAAGATAATGATAATGCATATTATTTATTTTATTTTATCTGATTTTTTTTTTTGCAGTTTTGAAATTATTTATATAAAGGTACAATTCTCATAATATATTTACTACAATGATTGATTATAGCAGAGATTCATATTGCATCAATTATAAAATTTTAGTAAATCGATTCGTCCGGTGCTAAATAATATTGTAAAATTTTTCATTAGGTTAGGTGATAGGTTAATTATTTATATTAAGAATTAAATTAAAATGCTTGATTTTGATATGTTATAGTAGATGTACTGACCAAACCATAATGCCGGCAATTAGCTCCTTAGAAAGGTTGTAGTTTTGTCTTTAATTTGCGTATTGGATTGTTTAGTTAAATAAATGGTAATTATTCATATATATTAGAAAATTTGAATTTACTGATTTTTAATTCTTTCGCTCTCGTTTGCTATAAACTACATTAGTTTTGGTCAATTAATAAGAAAGTTATTAAGCTTTAATGAGTTGGCGGTTTTCGCGAATCAAGTCGAATCTCGAAAATGCCAGAAAATTGGGATTTGTACCAGGAGACTAGGAGTGCGAGGAGGTATCTGAGCTCCTAGCATCGGTCGTTCCTGATTGGTTGTAATTTGAATATTTGAATTTTACATTTGGGTGAATGAGCGAATTGTTATGTTACATACAACATAAACTGCAGCTAACTAGGGACAATTCTCAAATCTTTTACATAAAACAGTGTCTTCATATAAGAATGTGCACTCATAAGGTAAGTATTCAACAATCATCGGTTCAATTGTTATTATTTTAGGTAGAGCTGATAAAAACATGCCCCTAATATATAGTTGACGACCTTATGACCCCAGAAAGAGAAAGGCATTCTTTACTAGCAGTTTTCATATGCAAATAGTGGAAATTTTATCTACTGAATATAACCAAAAATATTACTTTATTAAGGAGATGGATAACAACTATCAACCATATACCACCCATGATTCTATTTCTTCCTACATGATCCTTAGAGACTAGAAAACATTTCTGAATTTCGAAGACGTTATTTCCCCAACTCATTTGTAAAAATGTTTGTTAATCAATTACGAGGACACTATTGCAGCTACAAATTAACATTTGAACTCATTTTAATCCATGTATATTCAAGATCAACATCCATTTATAACATTTTTCTGGGAGCTCCAGTTTACTAAAATACAGATCATTATCCAAGTCGTAGTTTTCCTATTTGTTTTTCAAAGTGTATGTGTATGTTTGCTTGCAGACTGTTTCCTGAATATTTCGAAAGATGTCTCTGCTTAGCAGCTAATATTATATTTACGCTTATTTGAATCTAGGTATATTCATGATCAACATCCATTTATAACATTGATGTTGACGTATACAAAGCAATTCTTAAGTTTATAAAAACATCTAACGCCTCCATATGATTTTAATTTGTTAACGTTTCTAATTTACACCCTTCCGAGGTCTCTCCAAGAACCTATGTACTGAACCGCTGGGAGCCCGGTTCTAAACACGTTATATATTTATGTTCGATTCGTAATCTTTCTTGTCTTTACCTGTCTTGCCGTATCTCTCTTATATGTATATATTTCATTGAAGTTAGTCTAAGTTTGATTTAATAGTTATATTTTTGATTTTGTTAGATGAAGTTGTTAATTTTAATTATTTGTGTTGAAGAAGGAAGTTCAAGATCAACATTAATTTCTAACATTTTTCTGGGAGCTAATTTTTACGAAAATACAGGCCATTTTTGAAGACGCTATTTTCCCAACTCATTTGTGAAATAACAAATTTTGTTAATCAATTATGAGGACACCATTGCAACTACAAATTAAAATTTGCGCTTATTTTAATTCGTGTATACTCAAGATCAACTTCCATTTATAACATTCTGCTGGGAACTCATGGTTACGAAAATACAGGCCATTTTTGAAGACGCTATTTTCCCAAATCATTTGTGAAATACCAAAGTTTGTTAATCAATTACGACGACACCATTGCAGCTACAAACTAACATTTACATTCATTTTAATACGTGTATGTTTTTGAAAAAGAACGTGTATGTTTTGGAAAAGAACGTTTTTGAAAATGGCCTGTATTTTTGTAAGCACTTCCATAAAGAAGAATGTTGAATATGAATGTTGATCTAAAATATACAGAGATTAAAATAAATGAAAATATTGATTAATAGTTATATAAAATACGTTTAGCCTTTTTCTGGGAATTTGTTGAAAATAAAATTTTTTGTTTTTCCAGTATTTTTAATGCATCTAGCATTCAAAAATGTTTTCCAGTCTCTAAGGATCATGTACGAAGCAACAATAGAATCATGGGTGCTATAGGGTTTATAGTTGTTATCCATCTCCTTAATGAAGTAATATTGATGGTTACATTCAGCAGTTAAGATTTCCACTATTTGTAAATGAAACCTGCTAGTAAAGAATGCTTTCCAATTTCTGGGGAACTTGAAATCATCAATTATACATTAGAGGCATGTTGCTATCAGCTCCACCTAAAATAATAATAATTGTTCTGATGATTTTTGACTACCTACTTTATGTCTATTAACAATAAATGCATTCTTATATGAAGACACTGTTTTATGTAAAATATTTTAAGAATTGTCCCTAATTCTGCAGTATCTGTTGTATGTTTCTGAAGCCAAAAAACTTTAGTGATCGATGGTTGTTGACATGTTCCACTAGTACTTGCCCGAAGTGAAATATGAAGTTCAGAGAAAGGTTTTCCATCCAAAGAAATAGAAGAAGGAAGCAATGGAGCATGTTGTTCATTAAGTTTGAATTAAGGACAATGTAGAATAAAGAAGAAATTCAATAAATACCTTTAAATTTAACTTGCGACAATAGCTGTCAGTGTGACAGTGTTTCAGATACCTCCTCGCACTCCTAGTCTTCTGGTAGAAATCCCAATTTTATGGCATTTTCGAGATTTGATGGACTTGCTTTTTGATTCGCAAAAACCGCCAATTCATTAAAGCTTAATAACTTTCTTATTAATTGACCAAAACTAATTTATTTTATATCAAACGAAAGCAAAATAATTAATTTTTACCACAGTTCTTTAAAAATTTCAAATATATATATGAATATAACCATTTATTTAACTATTTTTTTCAATTTGCTGCAATACCTTCACGTTTCTTAAATTATTCGATTACCACTCTTGGTAATTAAACAATCTAATACGTAAATTAAAGCCAAAACTACAACCTTTCCAATGAATTAACTGCGGTCATTGTGTTTTGGTCAGTACATCTACTATCAGTTATCAAAATTAAGCATTTTAATTTCATTCTCAATTCAATTTGCGAGATAATTACATCATCGACCACACAGTTTAAAGCTGAATACCTCTTTCCAACGAAACTATTGGTATCTTCGTGCTGTCGTCGAGTCGTCTGCTATGAGCTGCAGAAATTGAACAAAAAATGAATTGAATGAATTTATTTTTGAAATCGTTGATGCATAGAAAAAAAAAAGTTTTTCGTTAATAACTCGAAAACTAATGAACTTTTTTATGATTTTATTTCATAATCAGGTGCATGCAAGCGTTGCGCAACATTTTATGTAACAAAAGTTACTTATCGTTTTGTAAGTAACAGAGAAACCACGTATTTTCATTTTTTTCCAGTTTTTCGTTAATTTCTCGACATCTTCGGGCTGTGGTCGAGTCGCCTGATATAAGCTGTAGAAATCGTTGATGAATAGAAAAAAAAGTTTTTCGTTAATAACTCGAAAACTAATAAACTATTTTATGATTTTAATTAACATTCTATACGTACCAGAGAAACGACGTTTTTTTTCAGTTTATTGATTTTCTCGATAACCCCTTAAGATAATTACATCATCGACCAGTCGTATGAAAATTGAATGTCTATCTTTTAGAACGGGCTAACTTACATCTTCGTGATGGCGTAGAGTCGCCTGCTGTGAGCTGTAGAAATTGATAAAAACAGAGAAAAGACGTTTTATTTTCAGGGTTTACAACACCTTAAGTTAATTACATCATCGACCAATCGTATGAAAGCTAAATGCCTCTCCAATGCGAATACATACATAGTCGCCTGCTATGAGTTTTAGAATTTGTAAAAAAAGTGAATAGGATTTACTTAAATACCGATTTTTGTTAATAACTCGAAAAGCAATAAACTTTTGTTGCGTCCATCTTACGTAATTATGAATGAAACTTTTTATGCAACTATGGTTATGTAATGTTCGCTGCGTAACAGGGTATAGACGACTTTAGCGATATTTTCAGTTTTTCTTGAATTTATCGAGATAATCCCCTCAAGATAATTACATGATTGACCACACATTTGAAAGCTGAATACCTCACCTTTCCAATGAGTCAACGTACTGTCGACGAGTTGCTTGCTATGAGCTGTAGAAATTGAAAGAAAAGTAAATTGAATGAATGGATAGTTAATAACTCGAAAACCCCTAAATATAATTACATCATCGACAACTTGTATGCAAACAGAATGTCTCGCCTTTGAAACAAGCCTACTTTCATACTCGTGCTGTCATTGAGTCACCTGATATGAGATGTAGAAATTGAAAAAACAGAGAAATGACGTTTTTTTTAGTTTTTACAGTTTTTTGAGAATTTCTCCACATCCCCTTAAGATAATTACATCATCGACAACTCGTATGAATGCTGAATATCTCACCATTCCAACGAGTCAAATTACATGTTTGTACTGTCGCCTGCTATGAGCTGTAGAAATTGAAAAAATAGAGAAATGACGTTTTTTTTAATAGTTGCGCATCACTTTACGTGACAAAAGTTACTTAACATTCTTTACGTAACGGAGAAACGACGTTTTTTCGATTTTTTTTAATTTCTTGACAACCCCTTAAGATAATTACATCATAGACAACTCATATGAAAGCTGAATATCTCACCTTTCCAACGAAACTATAGGCATCTTCGTGCTGTAGTGTAGTGATTTTCAAACTTTTTGGTCTGCGACTCCCTTTTGGACATAAAAAGTTTCTGCCAAAGTTTCTGTGTCATTAATTTTTTGCAACCCCCAAATATTTTCACACTTTGAGAATCACTGATTTAAGCTATATTTTAAAATTATACTTATTTTAGGTTAATATTATTTTTTCGGGAAAGAAGTTCTTGGTCGATTGTCTTTTGGGTCAAATAATAAAATTTTGTAAATAAATAAATATTGTACTTTTTATGTTGATGTAAATAAATAACGAAAAATTTCTTACCAAATGTATACAAGTATATGTGATTTTGTTGCTAGGTATGATGTTTCTGGCACATGTATTATTTGAATAAAATTTATCAATGAAATGATAAAGAATAGTTGTAGTAAGCGTTTTGTTGATCCATGAACGTCATGTGAGGTGCAAAAATCAAATGATTGCAATGAAATAGATTTGCGTATGTTTGATAATTTAATGAATTTTGCTGAAAGTGCGCTTGAACTGCGACCTATGCGAATTGCTGAATGGCAGTATTATTTTCATATAAAAGGATTGCGAAGGAATCAGAAAGGCACACTTCTAAGACCGATCAAGTCCAAGATGTGGTCACGAATCCTCCTCTGCTGTCTCGGTAAGTCTGAAACATCATTAAATAACAATTAAATTTGTAACTATTAAATATATTTCTTTAGTCGGCCTTGCCGCTGCCTCCAACAACCATGGATGGCAAAACAACAAGGAGTACGTCTACAAAGTACAAGGACGTACTCTTACCGGCTTGCAAGACGTCGCTAACGAATTCTCCGGAATTGTTATGAAGGGCAACTTGGTCATCCGCCCGCAAAGCGAAGGCAAGTTGATGGCTAAGATCGTCGATGCCAAATACTCCCAAGTGCACTCCCACCTTAAGAACGGATGGAAGAGCGAAATCCCAGAGTCCAAATTGCAATACCAGCAATTGCCACTCTGCGACAAGCCCTTCGAAATCCAAATGCAAAACGGTGTCGTTCGCGCCATCGTTGTCAGCAAGGATGTACAAACCTGGGAATCTAACATCATCAAGAGTTTTGTCAGCCAAATTCAACTTGATGTGCAAGGCGAAAATGTTGTCAACAGCCACATGAATCAACTTCCAGAAGCTGATTCCGACAGCGCTGTTTTCAAAACTATGGAAGAAACCGTGACCGGCAAGTACGAAACTTTGTACGAAATCTCTCCACTGCCCGAATATGTCTTGCAATCCCAACCATGGCTCGTCCCGATGCCAGAACTTAAGAACGACGGTGAATTCATCGAAGTTGTTAAGAGCAAGAACTTCAGCCGCGGAGAGGAACGTCTTGGATATTACTACGGACTTGGAAGCATGGGTCGCTTCGAACCAAATACCAACAAGATGGGTGATTTCTTCACTCGCTCCGCCAACAGCCGTGCCGTCATCTCTGGAAACTTGAAACGCTTCACCATCCAATCTTCCGCTTCTACCAACAAGATGATCTTGCGTCCAACTCTCAACAGCCAAGAAAAAGGCATGGTTGTCAGCCACTTGAACCTCACACTTTCCCGTGTTCAAGAAGCCTCCAGTTCCTTCGAACAACTCCATGATGGCCAAAAACTTAACTCTCTTACTTACACTTTCAACATCCCATTCGGAAGCAACAAGCAACAACAACAACAAAAGTTCATGTACTCTTCTGGAGAACGTCAACACTACAGGTCCCCACGCTCTCTCAGGTTCAATTCTGAAGAATCTCAATCTGAATCTGTTGAATCTCAAGAAAGTTGGGCCCAAGAAGAATCCGAATTGCGTCAACCACCTCAATCCCCTCTTCTTCCATTCACCATGGGGTACAAGGGAAAGAACATCAAGAAATCTGAACAAGTTGATGCTGTTGAAAGCGCCAAGAAGTTGGCCCAACAAATTGGAAAGGAATTGCAAAAACCAGAAGAAATCGCCCAAGAGCAATCTCTGGCCAAATTCATTGTTTTGACCTCCCTTAATCGCATCATGACTGAAAAGGAAATGGAACAAGTTGCTGAGCAACTCTACACCAAGGAAACTCAAGGACCAAAAGCTGAAGCTTGGTTTGTGTTCCGCGACTCTATAGCCCAATGCGGCACTGGCCCAGCTTTGTTGACCATCAACCAATGGATCAAGACTGAGAAAATCTCTTACGAAGAAGCTGCTCAAATTATTTCCACCATGGCCCAATCTGTCCGTCAACCAACTGAAGAATACATGCGTACCTTCTTCCGTCTTGCCACCAAGGAACAACAAATCAAATCTCAAGCTATCCTCAACGACACCGCACTGTTGTCTTTCACCACCCTTGTTCGCAAAGTCTACGTTAACAAACATGTTTCCCATAACCAATTCCCAGTTCACAGTTTCGGAAAATTCCGTACTGAGAGTGGAAAGAGGTTCGTCGAACAAGAAGTTATCCCAGAATTGAAGCAACAACTTCAACAAGCTATTCAATCCGCTGATAGCCACAAGATCTTGGTCTTCGTCCGTGCTCTTGGAAACGTTGCCCACGAATCCATTCTTGCCATTTTCGAACCATATCTTGAAGGACACAAGCAAGTTTCCCAATTTCAACGCTTCCACATGGTGCTCGCCTTAGATAAATTTGTTAAGGTTAAGCTGATCAAGGCCAGGTCTGTCTTGTATAAGATTTACCAAAACCAAGGAGAACTTGAACAAATTCGTGTTGCTGCTGTTTACCAACTCATGCGTACCTGCCCACCAGCTAGCATGCTCCAACGTATGGCTCAATTCACCAACGTTGATACTCATGAACAAGTCAACGCTGCTGTTCAATCTGCCATTCGTAGTGCCGCTACATTGGAAGGACAAGATTACAAAATTTTGGCTGATAATGCCCGTTCTGCTGAACCTCTTCTTACCAAGAAAAACTATGGAGCTCAATACTCCAAGGACAACCTCCACAGTTTCGTCCAAAAAGAAATGTCCATGTTCTACATACAAAACATTCAATCTTTCGGTAGCCGTGACAGCATTATTCCAAGAGGAATCAGTTACGCTCTCCGCAATACTCTTGGTGGAGCCAAGCATGAACTCATTAACACCCAATATATGATTTCCAACATCGATGAACTTATCAATGTCTGCGAAAGACTTTCCCAAAAACATCAACACCAACAAAAGCAACAGCAACAGAACTTCCAGCAAGCTCAAAACAATCAATGGTCCAGCGAATCTATCTCCAAATTGCTTAACATGAAGACCAGTGAACGCGAACAACTTGAAGCTTCATTCTATTTGCAACTCTCCGGAGGTGCCACTCGTTTCTTCACCTTGAACAACCGCACTGTAGAACTTATCCCAAGGGGTTAGTAATCAAATTCTCTATATCCAATAACTTTTATTAATTTATATTATTTCTTAGTTCTCCGTGACATCGAAGAATCTCTTGCCAATGGAAAAGAAATCCAATACACTAAAGTTTGGAATAGCCAAGAAATCGCCATCAGTTTCCCAACTGAAATGGCCTTCCCATTCATCTACACTCTTGATGCCCCAACTGTCATCCGCATCCAAGGACAAGTCCGTGCCCAAGCTCAACCACGTTTCAGCAATGGAGATAAACTCAACAAGCCAGAAACTGTTTCCGTTGAATCTGATATCCACGCTCTTGTTTCTACCAAGATCCAAGCTAGATTTGGTTTCATTACTCCTTTCGATCACCAACAATACAGCAGCGGTTTCGACAAGAACGTCCAAGTCAACCTTCCATTAAAATCTAAATTGAATGTTGATATCAAGAAACAAAACATCAATATGGAACTTCAACCAAGCAAGCCAGAGAGAGATGCTCAAATCTTCCACTACAGCTCTTGGCCATACACCGCCAAACACAACATCCTCAACTTGGAACCACTTTCCAAGCAACACAACACTAAGGTTATCCGCACTCAAGAACAGCCACAAACTCAATTCCACGGACTCTTCGGAAAGCAGACTGGTATGGCTTTCCGTGTTCAATACACCTCTGAACAAAGATTCTTTGATGCCCGTTGGGTTTACGAACAACTGAGCCGTCAAGATTTGGTTTCTGCCTTCTTGGCTCCAATGAACGACGAATCTATTTTGTACACTGACATCAACGTTAAATACATCTCCAACGAATCTTCTGCCCGTAAAGTTCAACTCCGTCTTGCTTTCCAACACAAGACTGAACAAGAAGGCCAACAAACCGAGATCAACATTAAGGAATTCAACAACCTTCCTCAAGAAGTTGAAGCCCGTCAAGCCAAATTCTCCAAAATGGCTGCTTCTGGAATCAAAAACGCTGAAATCTGCACCTGCGATATGGCTGTTCAGTTTGATGGACACAACAAGGTTCATTATGCTGCTACCGCTGCCTTCGCCAAGAGTCTAGTTGATGACAAATCTCGCGTTCTCTTCTTCGCAAAGAAAGAATCTGCAAACCACCAAGAATGCAAACCATTCGAATTTGCTGTCGCCGTTAAGGCTCGCATTCCAAACACCAACGGACTCAACTACCAATATGCTTTGGACTTCTCTCCAAAGGTTACCGCCCAATTTGAATTTGTTTTCGGCAAAAACTTGCAAAGCTCTAACCAAATCAACGTTCATGCTCAATACGACAAGAGCGAGAGTCGCAGAAGGTTCTTGAAGAATCACCCACGCTCCCAAGAATGCCGCCGTGAGATGGAACAAGAAAACTACCAACTTCCAGCTTGCGCTAACATGACCCAAGAGGCCAACCTTTTAGATCGTGTCCAAGTTCATGTTCAATTTGAAAACATGAGCCAAAACATGCGCAACATGACCTACAAGTTATACAACGCTATTCGTTACATGGGATACTACAACCTCGATGAGAACAGAGTCGACCCACAAAACGATGTTAAGGAAAACCAAATTGAAATGGAAGCCCGTTTTGATGCCGATTTCCAAGCCGTCAACGTCTCCTTTAAAACTCAAGAGATGAACTCCCGTTTCGAAAATGTGCGTTTGAACAAATGGGTTAAAAAAATCGTTGTTGGTCACCCAGTTTTCACTAAGAAGCAACGCGTTATGAGCGAAATCCTTGGCTACGATACCTTCTTGCGTAAGTATTATATAATACACATTACACCAGAGATTTTTTTCAAACATTTAATCTTTTTTTACCAGCATTCTGCGTTGTTGACAAGAATGCTGCTAACACTCTTGACAACAAGACCTATCCAATCAATCTTGGAAACTCCTGGACCGTTATGATGCAATACGTCCCAACTTTCGCCAGGGTTCATCACCATCAACAAAAGCACCAAGAACAACAAGAGGAACTTCAAACTGAGCAACACGCTGTTTTCGTCCGCGACGACAAATCTGGACACGGAAAGGAAGTTAAAATTACTCTGCGCAACGCCCGCACCCAAGCTCAATTGGTCGAGGTCGACATCCAACCTCAGGGACAACGTTCCGGTCCATGCGCCAAGATCACCATCAATGGAAAGCAAATCCAATACAACATCAAACAAGTTACCGTTGTTGAAGGTGGTTTGATCAAGGTATATGGTCTTCCAAACGATGAGGTTAAGATCGAACTCGAAGACAACTACTACATCATCTACGATGGTGAACGCGTCAAGCTTACTGTTGTTGACAACAAATTCCGTGGATCCGTCCGTGGTCTTTGCGGTACTTTCACCGGTGAAAAATCTGACGATTTCCTTACCCCAAGGAACTGCATCCTCCGCGATCCACGTGAATTCGCCGCCACCTACACCATTGAACGTAAGGGACATAACCAAGAATTCCATTCCCGTGCCCAGAAGTCTCCATGCTTCAGACAAGAAGTCATCTACGCTAACGTCATTTCCGACATTGATGCTGGACGTGTTTCTCAACCATTGAGCCACAAGTCTAACAACCACCAAAGCCACAGCACCAACAGCAACAGCTGCACCAAGCACCAAACTCGCTATGTCGAACGTGAAGATGATAACGAGATCTGCTTCTCTGTTCGTTCAATCCCATCTTGCAACATCTCTTGCCGCCACAACAAGATGATTGGCAAGTCCGTGGAAGTCCACTGTGTCCCAAGGACAAATGTCTCTGAAATGTGGAGGAACCAAATCCAAAAGGGCGCCAACCCAGATTTCAGCCAAAAGGCTGTTCACAAGTCCCTCAAGATGGAAGTCCCTGATAACTGCTACAGGAACTGAGTTTAAAATTCAAAGCGACCCCCGATATAATATTTATTAGCATTCCAAAAATGTAAAAAAAATAATAAAAATAATTAAAAAAAAAATAACTGATTTTAATTGAGAGCAATCCTATCTACAAATATCCAAAATAATAAAACGCAATACGGATAGAAAGACTTCGGTCGATGATCGAAATGGCCAAAAAATAATCTATATATGTAAATAAAAATATAAGTTTTTACATTGACATTTGTTGACATTTTTTCAAAGGTTGTTGCGAAAATTATTTCGAGAATATCCAGTCTACCTGGACTATTATACAATTCTCATTGTAGTTAAGATTCAGAAGTTTTCTACTCTCTAGTTATTCGTTTAATTTACAATAAGATTTGAAATCGTTCAAAATGAAATTAATACGATTTATCTTAAATTGAAAATAACTTCATTAGAGTAAATCTAAAATTCTATATTAGATAAAAATTTATGTTATAATACATAATTTCAAAGATACCATCGAGTACAAAATATTAGTAGTCTAAGATAAAACAATAATAAATTAGTCTATGTACATATTTTATTAATTAAAATAATATATCTAAATACAAAAAAAATGTTTAATGGCTAAATCGGAGATATTTGGAATTAAACAAGTACATTATAAGGAATATAAAAATTAGTTTAATACAAATCGAGATAAATAATATGGCATCTTAAAATTAAACAATAAATAAATCATTATTCGCTATTTTGACATCGACATTCAACAGGTACATTTACGCAGTGTACATTCGCTGCAGAACATTTGAATGTTTACACTCAAAGGTCAAAAAGAACTCTCACTCAAAAGAAAACATAAAATTTATATAGAAAACAAGAAAACAAAAATTGGTAACTGCAATTAAATGACTCTAGAAATAGCAGAAAGTAGACTATGATTGGGAAGTGGGTTTAGTAACGCAAAAAGTTACTTAAATAATTATAAATCACCGTTTTCTTTGAAATACTGCTAAGATTTAGAGCTACATTACATGCATCCACAGGAATCGACGATCATATTTGACAGAAGTTTCGTTGTGATGGTCTTGTTATTGTCCATGAACAATAGTTGCAGTGGTTGGAATTGCGTTGCAGCGCAGCAAGGTGTCAATTCCAGTTTCTGAGCTGAGTTCCGGTTGGTGCCGTACATAACTTTCTGGAAAGAGAAATTCCTTTGATAAATAATCTTTATCACATGAATAATACACTGAGAGGGGGGATCGTTGATAAGGCTTAGAGGTCACTGAGTAATACGCAAAAGATATACTTACATGTAAAATGGAATTGTGCTGTGTGGCGCTTAGAGTAACTGAGGCTGCTGTTGCACAGGAACCCTTGCAGAAGTACGCATTGTATCCTGCAGGCTGTATGATCCAGTCATCCCAACCGATTTCCGCGAAGGAAACATACAAGCTTTCTCTACAGCATTCGTTGACACCTGGACCACAATTGATTTGTCGCTTAGTACGACGATGCTGTGTCCTGCGTTGCTGCGAGTGGGTGTAGATCACAAGAAAGGGTTTAAGGGCCGGTTTAAAGGAGACAGGAGATTTATGAATGTCCATTCCGCATGTTTTACATGCGACGTTGATGGCGTGCGTAGGAGAGTCCTGATACTCCAACCAGTTCTTCACCACATACGCTACGTCAATTTTCAACCATCCCACTAAAATACATTAGAAATTTTAAACAAACAACTTTAATCGATTTATAAGAAAACTGCTTACTATTTAGATTGGTCTCGTGGATGGCTATAGGCTTGTTCTTTTGGAAACTCTTATTCGTATCCCAATGTGCCACCTCTGATATTACAAATGTTTGATTGTGGTCATCGAGTATATCAGCGTCTTTGTAGAACCAAAGCTCAGCAGAACTCACATCAGATGCGTGGATGTCGGTTGGCATTTGGAATGGAATACAAGCTGAAGGATGTCGAATTTTCCTAACACATCGCGCTTCATCTATAAGAAAATTCCAATTTAACAATATTTTTTAATGGAAAATTTAAGAAATTACCTTCGAATGGAAAAATGATAGCCTGAGTGGTTTTACCATAAAAGTCATCAGAGTATCTATTTTCAGTAAACTCGTCCAACTGTTGAAGTATAGATTCGTTTTCAGTCACTGGTTGCGGAAGATGAGCCATGGAAACTTGAGGCTTCTCCTTCAGCCTCAGCTTCTTCAGGATTTGATTTTTTATGTACTCTATCCGTAGAGCCGTAAATTCCTGCTCGGTGACGCTGTAGTGTTCAGTTTCCGGGATCGTATACTGGTTTTCTGCTTCTACAACCGTATACTTCTTGGAGCATCCAACACAAGTGGTTGCTGGAGGCTCGATACTGACCACAGGTCTAGCATCAAAAATTGCACCGAAAACGGAGCGCAAATGCCTATGTCCAGTGGCCGAATGGCCGGCACTTGCAAATACTAGCACAGACAGAACAACCAAACTGACACTAGACATTTTGTTTACAACGGGCGCTATTGTTATTTTTATACATGTACCACTACAGACGCTCGTAAATAAAATGTGTAACGATTTCAAAATGATCTACTGCACTCTTAAAACGCAGTCTTTCCGAGAGAGAGAGTTCCCCACTCTTTTAAAATAAACATTTCTTTAGTGGATGATAGAACTGAACCTTGAACCTGTATCTCTATCGGAACTAGACTACTCAACCTTACCAAGCATCTCTCCCGAAAAGAATGTGTAGATCACAGCTAAAAAAGCATTAAATTAATAACAATAATAATGATCTTATGAAGGATACACTGCATCATGGCTGCACATATTTGCATGGCGATTCATTAACTTCCGCAAAGCAATGTATCAGCTGGCGAATATCCTCTGGAGCTGTTTTATGTTTTTGCATTTTACTGCAAACAAGCTGTAAACAAGATAACGCAATTCGGATGGCTATTTTCATCTTAATTGCCGAAAATTCGATTGGAATGTTTATGAACAGAAGAAAGTAAACAAGTGTTTATCATGATCAACTGGACCGCTGTGTATGCTCCCGGGAATCGGGGGATAAGTTCCAGGGAAATTCCCTGTCCACGAGTTTATTTCTGATCATCGTAAGTTTCGCGTTGCCGTTAGTTACTCAATGGTGCAAAGTACAAATCCGGGATCGTCATATAACCTTAGAGGATTGATATGAGTCATTAATCCACCCGCACTCTGGACAAGTCGACAGGCGAGAGATGATAAGTCGGATGGCTCGTGACAACCAAGAGGAGCGCAAGAATAACACGATACATTGAACCTAAATCTAGATCTCGGACCAGATACCATCAGCAGTACCCGTGCGCAGAGATTACATGATTCATTTCCGCGAACTGGTATCTAGAATGATAGACAAACAATAAAAATTAACAGAATAAAACAAAAAAAACATATATATACATAAATTGGGGCGCACGCGGATATTTGTATAGATAAGGAGTTTCATTTTTTCCACGGCTCGGCCATCTTATTAATATAATTATAGCTCGTTATCGAAGACACAAGAATGCCTGAAAATTCCTTGATCTGTGACCCGAGCGATCCGAATACTCGGAAACCATGAAAAAAGTCCAATAACCAATATTTGAGACGGAATCTTGAAAAGAAAACTAAAAAACAAAAAGAAAAGAATTATTAAAAAAAATATCAACAACATAGAAGGGGTATCCTCGATGTTTACATTCCGACATATCAAATTCCACGCGCAGATTGTGTCAACAGCGAAAATATTATTTTGAATCCAATCCGCGATAAGGACAATTTACATATACGCATAAAGGCTATTGACCAAGATACACACCATCCAACTATCCTCACACAAGCCTTCTACGCTTCGCATCGCAGCTGCGTTCTTATTAATTTTTTTTCTTCTTCTCTTCTTCAATTAATCTTTACACGGAACCTCGAACACGGAACTGCTCTAATCAAATCGTGCGAGGAAAAAAAAGGAAAGAAAAAATTGGGCGATAGGAGAAACCTAATCATTTGCCCTTTAACTTCGCAATTCTATGTCCACTATCTGATGAAATATCAATTAAATATTACTCGTCGATTCTTTGGACTCGATAGATCCGCCGCAAACTATAGACCACCATTTCATCTTGTCGCCCCGAATTGCTGATTCATTACGGTCTAATTGAATTAATCAGAGGAATGTGTACTCCGGTTGATAATAATTGAGAAATTTTGGCAACTGTTACTCAATGTCCAAAACCTATAAACACATTCAATAAATAAAATGTAACTCCAAATGTAATCGTGTGATTAATTCTGACCTGCTTTTATACTGATGATTCCTCACCAATCAAAGTCGAAGTTTCCATTGCTACAGGAGTCCTGTCATTTGATTTCGGAAATGTATTCATAATTAAATTCTTAATTAACCACTGTTAATAAACAACATGATTGCTTTTGACCTGCCTCAAAATGATTACATTTTCATTTGTTTTCCTCATCCAAACAAAATATTGTTGCGTTACAATCATCACGTTTTCTGTTTTTCATAAAAAATATATTCATTTAAATAAATATATCATGTCCAAAAGTCCAATAAGATATTAGCTCAAACGTGCGTTGAAATGTATAATGTTTGTAATGAGTCAAGTGATGTTCTTTATCTAAATAAATTAATTTATATTCCACTGATATAAGTGAACAGATTAATTTCATTATAAACATCTTATATGATTTATCAAAAATAATAATAATAATAATTTCATTATTACCTACAATCATTGGTATTCCGCAATAGATACAAAGTGGAATATGTGTTGCCATATGAGTTCTATTTTTGGATATCAATGTTCTAATCCAATGCAGCGATACCTAATTTTGTTAAATCTTCCCTTTGAAAGTTTTTAAATATTTAAAAATCATCCACTATATCCATGGCCATCTAACGTCTCATCGCTGAACTGCAAGTTCAACAATTTTGTCGCTACTTGTTAAAAAATCAATAAAGTAATTGGTAATTTGAATTTAAATTATAATATCAATTGGATTTGCATAATCACCGGTGCAAACTACAAAAAAAAACAATGGAACAAAGCAAATTTCAAAGAAATATTGGCTACCCACATCACTCATTTTCTATTATTGTTTATAGTGTAGTTTAATTTTTTAATTGTTATAATTTTGAGTATTAATAATGAAATGTATTTGTTGTATAATTAACGAAAAGTAGTATTTTCAAATTGTTTTGTAATCCGTTCTGTATGTGTTTGTTTGGTTGCAGAATTGTTGGATTTACATAAAAGACACAAAGATTTAGAATCATTTTTATTGAATACAACAATGTTTATAATATAATTGATATAAAAAATATATTGAATATAAAAGGTAACCTTGTGTCTACTAATAAAAGTAGAACGTTCAATGGATTCATTTTATATAAAGTAAAATTAAAAAAAATCAAGTTTGAATACTAATGTTTGTATTAATACAAATTAACTAAAAATCACATTCTTGAGATATAAACTACAAAATTTAAGTTAAATACTGATTTGTTTGAATACTGATATTACTTATTTATAGAAAACTTGTTGGAAAGACTTAAAAAAATATAGAAAATTTTGACAAATTTAAAGACATTTATAAAAAAAATTAAAGTAAATATAATTATTTTTTTTAACTAAAGTATATAAAAGACTCTTGTTGGAATATATAAGAAATGATGGAGAATATATTGTAAATTTCTCCAAAACAAGTTTATGAAATATTTTTCTATATAGATAAAACTTAAATTTTTTCAACTTTTTCCAAATTCAATTTTGAAATAACTTAAGATAATATTTGAAAATTTCAATTTTGCATATTTTCCAACAAAAGTTTATGGAATATAAATATAAACGAATAATCAACCAATTTTAAAAAATAGCAATAATTTTGAAGAATATAATGGTAATCTTTGTGGAGCTTCGGCAATTAAGAAATCTTATTACTTCTTAGGCTCGTAGAAATCTTCCCGTTGCATTCGAAACTTATTCATGACATTGTTAACACATTTGTTAACAATGTTGTTCTTCTTGGGCTTGATGATACCAGTATAGATTTTCTCCTTTTCTAAATTTAAGATTGCAGAAGCTTGAAAATTATTACCAGAAAATGATTTTAAATTTACCTTTAAACATCTTAGATTTGCTCCTGGTGATAACACCAGTGAAAGCGGCAGCTTTATCTGAAATGATTCAATTTGTAAATTTCAGTTAACTAATATAATTTCTTTAACTCACCCAACAAATATCCTCTGGAAGGAAGTTGTTTCAAAAGTTCTTCCGGAGAGATTGGCTCATTACTTTCCTCATCGGAGCTGAAATCACATTTGTTATCTTCGTTGCCGCAAGTAGAAGAGCACACTGGAGTTGAAGGCGGCGCCGGTGGCGTAACCATGTCTCCTAAAGTTTTAGATGGCTTAGAGAAAAGCATGGAAGTTGAACCTTAAAGCGATTTGAAATATTAATAAATCATAAATATAAAGACTATTGAAAACTTACCCTTAATATTGAAAAAGATTCTAGTTTCTTTATTGATCTCTTCGGCATCATCTTGAAGAGGAGCAGCTGGTATATCAGAGAATACCTTGTAGTATTGCAAAACGGGGGTGTCCGGGCTATAACGAATCGAAAAAACTTAAATACTAATATTTATAATGTTAACTTGTTACCTTTCTTCATCCATATTATAAATTTCACTGTTCTTATTCTGGGATGGACCAGCCATGTTGTACTTCGCAGACTTCTTTCGACTTTGAGCCATAATCCTACGTAGCACCAACCTCACTAAATAACTGATACTTCTTACTTGGCAGTGGTCTTATTAATAAGGAAATCTGAGGACACAAATAGCGATTCCTGATTTGAAGGAGGTGGAATATAAACAATAAACATCAGATTATTCATACCTAGTCTGGTGATTCAATGTTTAGAAAAGTATTTTTTTCGCTATCATTTGTAAACTGTAATTAGAGTTTTGTCGATTTGTCTGTTGACAAAATGCTTCAAATTTTTTAAGTTAATACTCAAGACGGAAAGATGATCTTTCACTAATAAATATTTCATCGGATCATTTGACAATGTAATTTAATAAATATGGAAAAGTACAGCGATTTTGATTCATAAGTTTAATAAATAAGTTTAATTAGAATAATCTTTGGATTATAGATTTCATGATTATATTTAATTGGTTCTTCCATGATTAATCTTGCAATTCTATACATTGTCTAAGACCTAGACTAGTGATGGCAAACCATTTAGGAAAAAACGTAAAAGATCTATCGATTTTTCTGAAAGTTTTTACTCAAAAAAGTGTAATTTAAATAAAAAAATGTACTCACTCTCAATAATTATGATTCACAGACGATTTTTAAGCTGAAGTGATTCACGATAAAATCGTACTGAGTTATATTTAATCGCACGGGAGTGGAAGTAGAGTTAGGGTCTAAGTAAAGTGGGGGCCATAAAATAATACAAAAAGTGGGGAATATTGTCGTATTGAAAAATAAGGGTGGGGAAGCGATAGATAATCGAACAATTGTACATTTCAATTATAGGTATGCAAAATCAAGCAATTGGACATCATTAATTGAGTTTACAGCCAATGAGTGGTGGATGCGCCGGGTATCACCGATTAAGTACTAAAATTGATTATTATTTAATGTATGATCATTATTTTCATATTATTTTAGCAAACATCTTACGGATTCTCAAGTATAAGATATAAGAAAAGGAGCTTTGTTGATTCAATTTACTTCTCAAGATAGACAACCAAATACGCACGTAAGTAAAAATTATTATGTTTACAAAATTTATTCTTATTTTTTTTCATTTAATTTGCCCTAATTTACACCTCAAATTGTACTTATGGCTTATTTAATGTTGAACAGGAAACAGTGATACAAACTTATACTAAAGTTAGATTAGAAAAATGTAAGTATTAAGTTGTATTTTCATTTTTCTAAGAATAATTTTATTTATATATAATTTACAAATTTTTTCTTGTGATATAGCACGTAAAAAGAGAGTTTCAAATTTAGTAAGAAAAGCTTACAAACCTGTATGTAAATATATGGTGTTCAAAAATGTTATATGAACAAATGCACTGATCACTCTTCACATGATGAACTAATACTGATTTTCTGATGTCCGCTTTTATATAATATCCTCGATAAAAAAATGATGGTTTTGCAAGAAAATATAAATATGTGTTTCTTTTGGTGCCCCGCGCCGGATAATTGATGCTTATTCTGCACTAAATAATCAAATTTATTGTTTTATTCAAGATAAATTTGTTTTCTAAACAATGATTCATTTCCTTTATTTTGAATTTATGAAAACCTTTATTATATAAATATATTATATAATGGTTTTTTCAGTTGTGACCTGATATGAATTATGAATTATTATTATTTTTTTAAATTTTAAAACAAATTATTTGGAAATATTCATCATGTGAAAACATATATAAATATAAAAATATTTATAAAAAATAATAAAATTTACTAATTATTAAGATATCGAGATATAGTGGTTTGCTCTTATATAATAAAATAAACAAAATAATAAAATAATTCCATAAATTTATTTGATTGTTTCTTCATAACTTTGTTGTACAT